TTCTATGCATTGTTATTAATATGGATGAAACACACTCTTAATTATCAAAAATATAGAAATCATGATAAATTCAAGAACAGTATTTTGCAAAGTTGTGGAATTTTAAAAATCAAACAATTTGTGATATACAATGTTGCCACTTAAAAACATTTTGTGGTTTCCCTTTTTGTGATTGTGCTCTCGTAGAATCTGATGTGCCTCAATTATAACTGTTCATTTCTAAGAAATAAGTTAATTAACTTATCTATTAAGATAATTAATAGATGATGATATGTTCATCTAAATATTTTATTAAATTAGAATTTATTATCAAACCTATATTTGAAACATTTGTTTTAAAGGTTTTCTCATGTTTTAAATCTTACTTAGTCTAGGAATGCATGTGGGTTTTCTGTTGCATGACAGAAAATCATATGTGCATTCTTATGCTAAAAATAGGTCTGGTTACATCTTTTTAATCACTACATTTATTTCGTAGTTTATGCATGTGTTCATATTTTTTCTGTGCGCTTCACTTTTATGACTAAACAATCACACATGTTACATACTCCTAAGCCTATTTTTTTTACATATCCTTTAATAAAACATGATAAGTTTTAAATTTTGATTTATTTATTTTTGATAATTACTAGAATTTTAGATAAAATGTAATAAACAATAATACTCAAATTCTAAAGTAAACACTGTGTATTTTGGATTGAAATTCTCAAATTCATTGTACTGAAATAAAATTTTTTATAAATAAGTATTTTTGATTTAAATATAATTAAATCATTAATAGATTTTGTTAAATAGAACACAGAGTACTCTTAATATTTATGAGATGGTATATTTATAATCAAGCATTCAAACAAACAATCAATTCTTGTTTGCATTAAATAATTGGCTCAAGTGCTTTTAGCACTATTAGTAAATTATAAATTTTGGATAAATCATTTGTTAAAGTTAGTTAGTAAATGTTAATTAAAATACTATTTTACTTAAATACTTAATGAATCCTTACTTTGTTTTCTGAAGAAAATTTAGGAGTCTGTTCTAGTCCACTTCCTGTTAATTCTACTCTTTGATTTAAATGCTAAAAAGAAATTTTTAAAAATATAATTTTTAGCTGTTGATTTCATTTATATATAAAAAAAATCAAAGCAACAAATTCATGAATGCAAGCCAGCCTCATCTACTTCTGACAATATATCAGTTTCGTCATGAATCAATATAAATTTAAAATTCATGATCTTATAAGTAATTGTTTATCTATAGTTTGTATAATATATAATTTTAAAATGTAGAATAATTAAAAATTTATACTTTTAAACTAAATATATTTCAAATATTAATCAGCTATTCAGGTTAAACTTATAAATCATTAATTAATTTGTGCAATTTTATTATTGTCAAATGTAGATATGACTTTTCTATTTGTTTTATTTATATTAAGATTCACAGTTCAAACAAACTGCAAATAATTCTTATGAATGAACCAAATATCTGTTTTATTAGATCTTCTACTAAATAGACAAACATGCACTGTTGAACTTTAGTACAGTAGAGCGTTGTTTATCCGAAACGTCGGTTATCTGAAAGAATTCCAGACGGCAAATTTAAATTTTCACTAGTGCTGTGGTCCTGCAATCTTTGGCTATATCTTGGGCTACTCAAATACTTGTTTTTTGTTGATGTGTGTTTTTTAGCTGGCAGCACTGACACTTTTGTGTGGTGTTATTCTGAGGCCTATGTGTCGTGCTGAATCGAACGTTTTTGATACTAAATTAACTTCTAAAGTATATTTTCTTTTTGTTTTTATATTTTTCAATATATTTATTTTGTTTCTACATAATAAGAAATAATTTTTAATGATACAATAGCCACGATTATTATTTTAAAAAGTTTACATTAGGCTTAACATCGACGAAAATTTAACGTGAAGCGACATGCAACAAAGAAAAAGTTCAACACGGGATAGGTTAATATATTTTTTCGTACATAATTGGTTATCTGAAAAATAAGTTATCCAAACAACCCCAGTCCCCAATTGATTCGGATAAATGATGCTCTACTGTACTTTCAAATTTTACAATTCATTTTCAAGCATTGAAACATTAAATTTTAATAAAAATAAAGATTCAAACTTCTAAAACCTATTCAAAAGTAATAAAATTTTAAATTTTAAAAATTTGAAGCAGACAATTATGCATATTGCTTTCTTTTAGCCTTCAAAAATTACAAAGCTTTAATTTGATTTTTCAAAATTTATCCAGTCTATTTCCAAATTCTTTTCTTTTACATCAAAAACTGAAAATATCCTTTTTTTAAATCTCATTTTCCTATTCTTAAACTATTTCACACTGTAAATAACTTTTCCTATTAATACTCTTACTATCAAAATCTCTCATATATCCAAAGTTTTTTGGACTGTGCTATGTCCTTGTTATGATTATATTTTTCTTAATTATGTAAAACTTAATGTGTTCACTAAGATACATGGATTATCATCCATACATATTGTGTAAAACATCATAATATAGTGCTGTTATTTAAGAAAACATTTACACATGAAAGCTTAAAACAAGAATTATCTGATATAGTAATTTTTTTGTATGTATTGATCACCAATGAACATGACATATTTGAGACATCGAAGTTCTAGGAATGGATCAAAAAAATCAAAATGTGTTAAGATATAAAGAATTTTATTTAATATTTTACAAAATAATCAAACCTGGGCTTCAATGTATTTTTTCTCCAGTAATTTCTCCACTTCAGGAAACATTTGGAAAAAAATCAACTTCTTTCAGGTACTACTAAATCTTCCTTGATTCATCTTGTATAAGTTCTATTCATTCAAACCATTTTACTTTTACTGTATTTTTGTGTAAAAGACCCATGGATCATCTATCCTTAAAAGACAAATTTTTAAGTGGTGCAGATTATCCAACTTTAAATGATAATTACAAATGCCCACCTATGGGGTATGCTCTGTAGGTGTGAGGGTATATGATGAAGCAAATAATGCAAAGATTTTTTTGTTATAGCAATTTTCTGCAAAGTATACACCATCATAGGGTTATATGTATTAAACTACAATATTTTTTTTAAATTTTGATGAAGAAGTCTGTAAGAACTAGATTGTGGGAATAAGATAGTTGCAGAATAGCAGTTTGGTCTCTACAAGGAAAATGGTTTAAATCAATAGAATTCATACATGACAAAAATTTGTTTGCAGTACCTGAAAGAAACTGAGCTTTTAAAATGTTTCTCCCAACAATTTTCTAAATTCAGAAAAGTACAGTGGTACCTCAGGATACAAAATTAATCCGTTCCGAAACTGAGATCGTATCATGAAAATGTCATAAGGTAAATCATTTTTTCCCATACGATTACATGTAAAACCAAATAATTTGTTCCAACACGAAAAACACACCCAAATTAAAGCTAAGTAGTACATTTAAAAAAAATAATTATACTAAGGAAAACACTGAAAAATGTGTTTTGTAGTTGTAAATGTATAAATAACCATAATAGAATAATAATTGATTTAAAAAAATGCAATTTTATTTGCACTTTACCTTTGAGGATAGACGACGGTGGAGGTGTAAACTGGTGGAGGAAGAGAGGGAGAAGGGAAATGATACTAAAACTTAACTTACATAACATAATGTAACAATAACTTAAAAATAACTTAACACTAATTTTTTAATCTTTTCTGTTTCATATTTATTTTTAATTCTTATTCACTGCTTTTTGCTTTCTTTCCTTCACTTCCACCAGCACTTTCACTGGATAGAGGTCGCTTGGTAAAATATCTATCCAGAGGTTTGGCTTTGCCTACTTTTTAAAATGTTTCTAAAATGACTTAGGCAAATGTCATTACTCCGAGCAGCAATACGGCCAGTGTGAACCTTTTTGGGATGTTTCTTTTCAATAAAATTAGTCACTTTCTGATAATACCTCAAGATTTCCTTTATCGAGCGAGATCCTTCCACAACGAAGCAAACGCGGACTGAGACCGATGAACAGAAATGAATAAAAAATGGCGCTGCAAACTAATGTAATGTCGTATGGTGAGTTTTTGTTCGTATTGTGGAGCAAATATATGTTTGAATTTCGTGTCGTATCCTGAAAATTTCGTATGATGAGACGCTCGTATCCTGAGGTACCACTGTATATTAAAGCTCAGGGTGATTATTTTGAAAAATATAAAATAAGTTTCTTTATGTCCTAACACATCTTGTATATTCTTTAGGATCTAGAAACTTATAAAGTGACAGTATTCTGTTCATTAATTAAAAGAAAAGGGCAATGAAAATTTCCTCAAAATGGAGCAATTTGGAGAAAGAATTAAAATTCCTAGAATAAACAGCAGAAAAATATGACATTAGTGAGAAATATGATCTAGTAATGAGAAATAGTTATGTTTGTGTGAAATTAATCTGAACAGTTATATAGTCTAAATTAATATATGTGGGGGAAAAAGATAGCATAACAGGTGATATAACAGAGTATCTATATTGTAAGCAGAAGTTTTATCTGATGTGAAACTCAAATCCACAGTAGAATGTCAGTTATCCAAAATAACATGGAGTGATGCTACTTCAGATAACAAAAAATTGGATAAAATAGATCACCATGGCCATTTCAAATAAAAAATTACAAATATGAAAGATCTATACAGTAGCACTTTCATGCCTCTATGCCTTTGTGAATTTAATTATATATTGTACAAGAACATTTTTACATCATTTATTTTACAGCTAATCAATATCAATATCAAGATTAAAATAATAAGCTTAAAACTCATATTTTTGATAGTTTTAAGAATAAAAATGTATATTATAGTAGTTACATTTTAATATGAACAAGCAATTATTTATTGTGAGATCATCACAATGCCAGGCTGCAATTTTTAATTTAATTCATTTAAAATATATGCTCTCCACCTCAAATTAGTAGTATCTTGCCCCTGTACACAGTACAGTACATCATACTTTTCCTTTACTAATAGAGTTGTGACAAACATCTATTAACTGCTATCAGGAGAAACTTTTGAATTGAAATAATATGACTTCTGGTTTGCACAGAAGTTCATATATAGTCACTTGGAGCGTTCTACCCCTAAGGTTTACATATCTGGTCTCAGAGTTCATCTATCTAATTCCATTCTCAAGATTAAGGAAAGATGAACGAATGGACGAATGACAGTGGAAATATAAATATACACATCAACTGAAAACCAATATCTTAAGCAAATACACCTACAACTGCCATAAATGATCTGGCTATATTATGAATATATTATAATTATTAATTTTAATAAGAGATGGCGCCTAATGCCTCACTCTAGTGGCTAGTGCCAAATTCACTTCTAATCTATAATTATATATCCAAAATATAGCCTCATCATTTATGGCAGTTGTAGATGTATTTGACAGTGGAAATTTCTAGGTTTACAATTTTTTTCAAATTGCAGCCCATTGAAGCTAAATAATAAAAAATAACAGAAACAAATCATTTTGTAATGTGTGTTATCATTTTTAAACTTTCCTTGAAGAGTAGAGTATTAACTTTCATGTTTGCCTCAGATAATGCAGAACCTTGGTTAATTGGGATTCTACTGTATATCTTTTCCAAAATTTTTAACTTATTTAATTTTTGTAATTTAAACTTTCTGTCATCTGACAGTAAGATTAAATAATTATTAATCTTAGTGCCAGATGGCAGTCTAACAACCTTTAAAAAAATTCTGTTCTTTAATTTAAAAAACATATTTAAAAATCATCTACAATTTAAATTTATGACTAGCTATAGAATTCAAACTTTAATTATATTGAACTTTTACGTGAATTATGAAATTTGAAAGCACTATGATAATCTAGTGCCCTTCAAGTATGTGTTTAATTAACAGATATTTTGATTATTTTAATAATACAAATTACAACTAGAATAAGTAGCACTAAAATCCATTATTTTTGTAAGCAAACAAAAATTGTTATTTTTAAGGTTACTAAAAAAAACTATATTTAACAATTGAAATGTTTTTGTCCTAAATTTAGGTCATCTTCAGCAAATAGCAAATTTTATAAATAGAATTTGATATACAGAATCAATCAAATATTAAAACTAATCAAATCTTACAGAATATAACAACTAAACACAAATTTAGTTAAAATCAAATATTTAAACAACAGATTTTCTAGATATAAATAATTACTTGTTTTGTTAATTTTCTAGCTTGCTTATAACTATAAAATTAACAAAACAAGAAACTTTGTGTAAAGATAGGAAGTTAGGCTGCTATCTTATATTAAATTTAACAATTATATTAATTTTAGAATTTAATTTGGCCTAAGGATTTTCTTTCAGAATGTTCTAAATTATTAAATTTGTTTGTTTCAATAAATTATTGTCTAGCCTATCAAAGCTTAAAAATCCAGCATTTAAATATTTTGATGTGTTCTAATTTCATTTATAAAATTTGTTATTTCCTGAGACTACCTAAATTTAGGCCAAAAACATTATAGAAAAACTATATTTAACAATTGAAATCATACAAATAGCAGTTTTTGTTTGTTTATTACAGTATGGTGCCAAGCTTTGCTGATTTTTTTCCCATTATTTTAAAAAAACAAATTACAAAATGCATTCAAATTAAGTTATCTGTAAATATGAACCCCTCTAATTTTCAGAAAAAATAAATTTTTGTTACTTCTTTTTTACATCTTTTTAAAAACAAACTTAAAAGTGTGATGATGATAACTGAATTAAAAAGATTATTTGTATATTACTCTTCTTCAATTATTTATCCAAAATGTATTTTCTAATCTTGTTTTTATTTAAGAAAACTAAAAAAGTAATTTCCTATTCAAGTGAGCAGTAAGTGGTATTAAGTCCCATTTAATGCCACTTGCTGCTCAAACTGGCTCATTAATTTTTCTAAAACAAAATTTTTATCAGTTTCATATTTTTTACTTTATTGTGATAAGAATACTTTGTTAAAAATATCATTAATCATAACTCTGACTTTGTTTTTATTGAAAAATTATGTTTGATATCACTTAAACTAAATGCCTTGTAGAATGTATACAATGGAAGAAAATTAATTTTCATATCTATTGAATTTCTGTAAAATATTAAAATATTTTAAAAATAATTCAATTAATAAATTTAAATAACTAATTAAAGCAAATTTCCTATAAGGTTTCCTATTTTCATGATTTTCAGTATAAAATCTGCCAATTCATTTAATTCTTCCATTTCTAAAATGGAATGTTATTTTATGTAAACTTTTTCAATAAATCAATAGAAAGAATATATGCTGTCTTACATGCATATGTATGAGAATCCAGAGAAGAAATAATTTTATTTTAGTAAAGAAAGTATTAAATTAATGTCACAATTGATGCATTTCTATCAAATTCGTGGGAAAGGGAAGTAAAACTTTCTTTGGGAGAGATGTTATCACAAATCTCCAACAAGCATCTGTCCATTTGCATCAGAAATAATATCCCATCAGATGTTACAAATCCTAAAACCCAATTGGAGGGGAATTTAGAATAAAAAAGAGAGAAATCACGATCTCAGGGCAGCCACACAATGATCTACAGACTGCCATAGAGGAAGGCTAGTGGCCATAAACAGACTCTGCCATATAGAAGCACGAAAGCCATACAGGGAGCATAGCCCATCATCCATCTCCAAATCAGAAGAGAAGCTCCTCACATCGACTGGACTATATGTACTAGTCTGTCAGAAGTATTAATAGACATATCATTGTAAATTCTCTTGGTATTTAGGAGAGTACATAGTTGATGTTTGATTTAGCAATCGATTATTTCTTAGTGTAGTTTAATTCTTATATTCATTAAATTTTGCTTTTAGTTTGTTTAAATGGTCTTGTTCTTGATCTTAAATATATGCTGATGTCTTATTGGGAGCCCACAAGTCCTCCCCTCGGAAGAAAGTAATAAGAACATATTGCAAGCCTAATGCACAAATTAGGCTGGTGTCAGGAAATATTCTAAGGAAGATCATAAAAACTTCCTATTGACAAAACAAAATGATACTATCATCCCATCCACTGACAAAGTGGGCGGATCTTTCGGATCTGAAGCTGAACACAGGTGAGAGACAACCTTCTCTTTGCCCTGTATTCCCACATATGCAATTATTCAAAATTACCAAATATGCTATTGAAACATGTAGATTTTTATGATATGTGCTTGTACATGCTTATTAATATTAAATAGGGTAACTATACCAGTAATTGATATTATAAGTTTGTTTAAGATTTGATATGTTGAAAAACATGTAAACAACATATAAACTTTATTTTATGTAAAACGTCATTTTGAAAGGTGTACTTTTTCCTTTACTGATAGATAGTCTCAAAATTATTAGAAAACAAATAATTTTTGTTGTGTACAAAAATCCAGTAATTGCCATCTACAATTAAAATTTAAATATAATTACAAACTATAACCTATAATGTTGTAATGTTTGTAATATCATTAATTACAAATAGAACCTTTCCTTTTTTCTAAAATATTGTAAAAATTTGATCAACTTATTCTCAACTGTAATATTTGACCAGTTAACTGATATATCAAAATCTAATTCAAAAGTAAAAGTAAAAGCCTCAGTGGCTCCTCCTTTGGAATAATTCTTATACTACGTATTTTTAATTTAATTCTCTAACATTAGATGAATAGTTTTCATGTTTAACTAGCTTATTTTAAAATTTTTAATTTCTAAATGGCAATAAATGGTACAGTTATACTATATGGTTTTTGATATAGAAATGTATATTCTGCTTTTAAGTAAAAGCTTATATAGCAAACAATATATTTTAATATTTTTTGAAAAGAAGAAAATTAGAAATCATATATTCACAGTAAATTAATTTATTGTTTATTATAAACGTAATAATTAAAAATAATTTATTTTATTTTGTTTGAAATATTGGGTTGTCTGGAAAGTTCTTAGTAATATTTTAAAATTTAGTCTTTAGTCAGTGATATGCAGTGTTATTTTTAATGACTTCTTGCCATATATTTTTCAGCTTTATCATTCCATATTGAAAGAACTTTCCTTTTTTTTTTTTCTTGCACAGAAAACACTGCTCCAAATGATTCTGCAAATTGTTAAAGTTCTTATCACAAAGGGAATTCTTCATGGACTGAAATATTTGATAACCCAATGCTGCAAGGTCAACTAAATCTGGTGAGTGAAGTAAAACATCCCAGCCAGCCTGCCATATTCCAATAATTTTTGTCATGTTTTCAAAGACATGAAACAGCCTGGCATTGTCATGGTGAAACATACCATTTCTGTTGGTCAATTCTGGATGTTTTTCAGATATTGCTGTCTTTAGTCAGTCCAATTAAAAGTAATATTTATCAAAACTGATTGGTTTTGTGGAAGAAGCTCATAATATATGATTCCCTTTCAGTCCTATCAATCACATAGCATAACTTTTTGAAAGAAAACTGGCCTTTGGAGTGATTAGTGGTTAATGATGGTTTAGTTTGCTTGTTCCATGATTGTTTTCAGCTAATATCATTACAGATGATCCACTTTTCACCACCTGTTATAATTTGTCTCAGAAATGAGTATTTTCATTATATTTTAGAAGTGACCATAAACAGAAATTCAATGTAATAAATTTTTTCAGTCAAATCATATATCAAAACATCATAGTAATTCACATAACCAACTTTCTTTAAATGGTCAATACAGTACTTTTTGATGAGTTTATTGTTTCTGCTATTTTCCATGTTGTGTAATGAGAATTATTTTCAATTAATTTTTAACTTAGTCATCTTCAATGTTGTAAGCATGGAGCATCTTTTAGGTTAAAATTACATGCTTTAAATTTAGCAAACATTTACAAACTGTTGATTCAGCAACAGCATTATCACAATAGGCAACACATTTCCATTGCTATTTACACATTTTTTTTTCTTTCCAGGAAAAAAAACAAATGTCAATAAATGCATCTTATTTGCTTCCAATTCAATAAAGACACAGATTAAATATAATTTGAAATTCCTAAAATCTTTTCTTTGTAATGAATAAATTTCAATATCATGAGGATAAGGTATCTATGCATTACATGCATAGATACCTTATCCTCATGATATTGAAATTACGGTATCTATCCATTACATGCATACATACCGTATCCTCATGATAGCATCCTCATTACATGCATATATTCTCATTACATGCATATATTCTCATTACATGCATATATCCTCATTACATGCATAGATACCTTATCCTCTTTAATGGCTTTGATATCTTCCAGTGTGTTCAATTTTCATTTATTAAAAATAGGTATGAACTTACTGGACAACTCAATAAAACAAAATAAATTCATATAAAACTATAATAAAACATATTAAAAATATCTTATACAATATAATTCAGCATTTTTTAAGATTTTAAGAAAATGCCAAATTATAATTAATGTAAATATTTTTATTTTTTCTAAATAATTATTCTTACAAAATTCTTACTTTATATGATATAGGGGTAAGCTGGCGAAACCAGTTGTGAGAAACTCGAACAGAAAATATCAATAACGTAAAAACTAGAATTGCAAGACTAACAATTGTTATATAATTCCAGCCTGCAAAAGAAAAAATATTTAACAAACCATTATTGTTTTTTAATTTATAAATATTTAGTTGTACAGTACTTACCTATTCTGACATATGAAAAGAAAAATAAGAAGACTTGTAAAAGAAACACAGCAATGATTACAAAATTGATTGCTGTTGCATGAATATTTTGACTGATTTTTGAAGGAGCATAAGCAAAATATATATTGTGTCGGTCCACACAATGTTTGAAACAGAGATACATAAGACCTGAAGAAAATACATATACTGTATACATTACAAAACCTTTTTTCCTTAATTATAAATATTAAACACATTTAAATTAGTTTTGCTCCTTAAAAAAATTAAAAATAGCTGTTCTTTAATTTCTTGTTTTTTTATTTACTTTCAAAGTTCCTAATTTGCTATCTAGATATTGACAGAATTAAAAATAAAATACTTTGTAAAATGATATAACTCTAAGCCTATTTTTTTTACATATCCTTTAATAAAACATGATAAGTTTTAAATTTTGATTTATTTATTTTTGATAATTACTAGAATTTTAGATAAAATGTAATAAACAATAATACTCAAATTCTAAAGTAAACACTGTGTATTTTGGATTGAAATTCTCAAATTCATTGTACTGAAATAAAATTTTTTATAAATAAGTATTTTTGATTTAAATATAATTAAATCATTAATAGATTTTGTTAAATAGAACACAGAGTACTCTTAATATTTATGAGATGGTATATTTATAATCAAGCATTCAAACAAACAATCAATTCTTGTTTGCATTAAATAATTGGCTCAAGTGCTTTTAGCACTATTAGTAAATTATAAATTTTGGATAAATCATTTGTTAAAGTTAGTTAGTAAATGTTAATTAAAATACTATTTTACTTAAATACTTAATGAATCCTTACTTTGTTTTCTGAAGAAAATTTAGGAGTCTGTTCTAGTCCACTTCCTGTTAATTCTACTCTTTGATTTAAATGCTAAAAAGAAATTTTTAAAAATATAATTTTTAGCTGTTGATTTCATTTATATATAAAAAAAATCAAAACAACAAATTCATGAATGCAAGCCAGCCTCATCTACTTCTGACAATATATCAGTTTCGTCATGAATCAATATAAATTTAAAATTCATGATCTTATAAGTAATTGTTTATCTATAGTTTGTATAATATATAATTTTAAAATGTAGAATAATTAAAAATTTATACTTTTAAACTAAATATATTTCAAATATTAATCAGCTATTCAGGTTAAACTTATAAATCATTAATTAATTTGTGCAATTTTATTATTGTCAAATGTAGATATGACTTTTCTATTTGTTTTATTTATATTAAGATTCACAGTTCAAACAAACTGCAAATAATTCTTATGAATGAACCAAATATCTGTTTTATTAGATCTTCTACTAAATAGACAAACATGCACTGTTGAACTTTAGTACAGTAGAGCGTTGTTTATCCGAAACGTCGGTTATCTGAAAGAATTCCAGACGGCAAATTTAAATTTTCACTAGTGCTGTGGTCCTGCAATCTTTGGCTATATCTTGGGCTACTCAAATACTTGTTTTTTGTTGATGTGTGTTTTTTAGCTGGCAGCACTGACACTTTTGTGTGGTGTTATTCTGAGGCCTATGTGTCGTGCTGAATCGAACGTTTTTGATACTAAATTAACTTCTAAANGCTAGTGATGTGGCACTACAATATTTGGCTATGTCTTGGCTACTTTATTATTATTTTTGTTAAATTTTTGCATGTTTTAGCTGGCAACACTGGCTCGACCATGAAAGGGAGACCAGTATTTAAATGAGGCTTAATTTTCTAATTATGAGTGGTTGTTTGTTTTGTGAGCAATAAAATAATTTTAAAATAATTTTTAACTATACAATAGCGACGATTATTATTTTAAAACAAATTTGTTAGGCTTAACATCGATGAACATTCAACGCGAAGTAGGTTAATAGCGATATACTAATTACACGGGATATACTAATATAATAATATACTATACTAATAATGTATTTTTTCATACTTTTTGGTTATCCGTTTATTCAGTTATCCGACAACCCCAGTCCCCAATTGAGTCGGATAATCAATGCTCTACTGTATTTACAGATTAAATTCATAAAATTTTGATATTTTGCTGAGAAGTTCCCACCTGAAAAGAAAACTGGATATCTAAAATAGTACCAGTTTCAATTTTTACTTCTTGTACCAGTTGATTCAAATAAGAAATCTGATATGAGTTTCCCTGTTTTATATGGTTTAATTCAAGAATTTTTTACTCTCATACCAATAGCTTTTACTTTCATTCTAAACTTATTCAAAAACAACCAAATCAGCCAGGTTTAACTGATCAATCAGCCAGCTAGATAATTCCCCTGATCAGTCTAAAATATTTTTAAATTTATATTAATTAATTTATTTATTTACTATTTTTGTTTTAAGATAATGTGATATTGAGTATCAAAGTATGAATATTGTTTTGTTGTCACTAACCGAGACCTGTAAAAAAATCTGTAGTAAAAGCCAGCTGACACTGCAGATTCAACACCTAAATATTTTTCCTGGAAAAAACAATGTTACAGCAAATAAAAATATAATCTAGGAAAATAAATTTCTTTAAAATTATTTGTCGATTGCTCTTAATTATATTCTAAAAATCATGCCAAAGGAGAAAATTCTTTGTTACATAGTGAGTCTGAAATTACTGTATTTTAGGAATATAAAACATGACTTTTGTTTATTAATTAATTAAAAAACCCTGCATCTTATGGGAGATCGTAATTTCACATATACATTAATGATTTCCTCAAACAGCTTTTAGTAGTCTTGTATTAAGAGCATCTTTCTAATGAAACTAGGCATTTCAAGTAATCTAATGTGTATGGCATAAAACAACTGAATCTTTTTGCACTTTTTGAAGTTGTGCACTTTTTGCACAACTGATTCTTTTTGCACACTTGTAACTTTTTGAATGTGAACTATTTGACTTAAATGTATTTAAAAATGTATTAAAAAGTATTTTTCATCAATTTTAGCAAAATAATTTCAGTAAATAATTATTTTCTGTAAATATAACACAGCAAAACATATAGCCTATATTCTACATTCCAAATTTAAGAATATTTAATGGCTGTATAATAAAAATTTTAAGTTGCTTTTGTACTTCTTTATTTATAATGTTTTTCATTCAAAGAAAAAGTATGAGTTTCTCCCAAAATGTTTTCTGGATAAGTTACAGATGATATTTATAACATGATTAAAAAAGAAAAAAAATATGAATTCCATATGATAAAGACATTACTCAAAAATTGAACTNAACTTGATACTTAAATAAAAACTTTATAGTAAAAATTTTTATAGCTATTTTTCAAAGCATTATAGTTAAAAATTTAAAAACAATCTTCCTTCTATATTCTCTTTTAAAACTTTAAATTATGAAAACATATACTTACCAAATGGAACAACTAAAGGACAAGCTAAACTGTAAGTTATAACTACAGCAAATACTAACAGAAACCATGCGTACTGTACACCAAATTCAAATTCCCACATTGCTGCCTAAAAAATAAACATATTTTAAACTTATTAATAGCAATAATAATATATATAACATATTTTATGTAAACATAGTACTTTTTATAAAAAGGAATAACTGAAACAAAATATTTTCACATTAAAAACTGATAATTACATTTTACATTATTATTGATTGATTATATGAAAATTTCAAAAAGTTATAAAATTAAGCATTTTTAATAAAAGTTAAGGATACCATTTCTCAAATTGAATATATTGCAAGATAAGAAATCTCAAAAAAAATCAAAGAATGTCTAGAAACTTTGACTCAAGCAAGTTATCATTATCATCATTAAGTAATTTTGAATATGTCAGAATCCAAAATTTCCATTAATTAGTTAATTGTGTAAGGCAATCTTATAGGTATATAACTTCTATTAAAATTACATAACCTTATTAACTTTTAGTTCATTCTGTTTCATTAATTCTTTAACATAAATAAAAAATAAATAACTCCAAATTGTCAATAAATGAAGAAAAATGCTTTTAATGAAGTCTTCCTTCCATGACAACAGAGCATTTTTTCAACCAAGATTATGATAATACTAAATATTAAAGCTTGAAACTGTTAGAACATTACTAAAATTAACAAAAATTAAATGAAATATATTTTTCATTACTCCATTAAAAACAGTTTTCTTCAAAATAAAAAATTATTATTTTTGATCTTATAGTACCTCACTTCTACTGAATGACTTATAAGAAGGAAAAAACTGATTTACAGTAAAGCATCGATTATCCAACCCCCGATCAACCGTCACATTGGTTAACCAACCGTTCTAGTCGGCAAAAATTTCAAATGTCCACTAGTGATGTGGCACTACAATATTTGGCTATGTCTTGGCTACTTTATTATTATTTTTGTTAAATTTTTGCATGTTTTAGCTGGCAACACTGGCTCGACCATGAAAGGGAGACCAGTATTTAAATGAGGCTTAATTTTCTAATTATGAGTGGTTGTTTGTTTTGTGAGCAATAAAATAATTTTAAAATAATTTTTAACTATACAATAGCGACGATTATTATTTTAAAACAAATTTGTTAGGCTTAACATCGATGAACATTCAACGCGAAGTAGGTTAATAGCGATATACTAATTACACGGGATATACTAATATAATAATATACTATACTAATAATGTATTTTTTCATACTTTTTGGTTATCCGTTTATTCAGTTATCCGACAACCCCAGTCCCCAATTGAGTCGGATAATCAATGCTCTACTGTATTTACAGATTAAATTCATAAAATTTTGATATTTTGCTGAGAAGTTCCCACCTGAAAAGAAAACTGGATATCTAAAATAGTACCAGTTTCAATTTTTACTTCTTGTACCAGTTGATTCAAATAAGAAATCTGATATGAGTTTCCCTGTTTTATATGGTTTAATTCAAGAATTTTTTACTCTCATACCAATAGCTTTTACTTTCATTCTAAACTTATTCAAAAACAACCAAATCAGCCAGGTTTAACTGATCAATCAGCCAGCTAGATAATTCCCCTGATCAGTCTAAAATATTTTTAAATTTATATTAATTAATTTATTTATTTACTATTTTTGTTTTAAGATAATGTGATATTGAGTATCAAAGTATGAATATTGTTTTGTTGTCACTAACCGAGACCTGTAAAAAAATCTGTAGTAAAAGCCAGCTGACACTGCAGATTCAACACCTAAATATTTTTCCTGGAAAAAACAATGTTACAGCAAATAAAAATATAATCTAGGAAAATAAATTTCTTTAAAATTATTTGTCGATTGCTCTTAATTATATTCTAAAAATCATGCCAAAGGAGAAAATTCTTTGTTACATAGTGAGTCTGAAATTACTGTATTTTAGGAATATAAAACATGACTTTTGTTTATTAATTAATTAAAAAACCCTGCATCTTATGGGAGATCGTAATTTCACATATACATTAATGATTTCCTCAAACAGCTTTTAGTAGTCCTGTATTAAGAGCATCTTTCTAATGAAACTAGGCATTTCAAGTAATCTAATGTGTATGGCATAAAACAACTGAATCTTTTTGCACTTTNATTTTTGTCCAAATACGTTTCATAGAACTGTTCCAAACCAACTTGATGGAATTACTCCAACGTTTCAGGGTTTACTTACTTATAGAATCGATATGGTAGAACGGCTACTTGGTTAAAGTAGTTTGAACTGTAATTATAAATATATTAAATATGTAATTTTATCGTCGATTGCAAAATCTTTCCAGATGCACTGGCGATAATAAAACGAAACTACAGAATAACACGTAACTTTGTCAAGCTGGACTGAAAGTAGTTATGAATATGAGCCCGACAGCATTGTGAGCTTCCCGAAAACGCCGAAGACCACAGAACATATAGCCTATAGCTGAAGTTGAAGTCTTATATTAAATTTTATCAACACTTAGCGTCGGACAAAAACTAAGTAACCTTGAGTGTCAAATAGCAGGATATTTGAAATAGCTGATAATCTATGAATTTTTCCAAAAATGAGAGATATTTCAAATTTCTCTTAGCTATATTTGTATCATGTATTTTTAAATACATGATACGAATAACTCATGAGGTAATGTTCTTTTGGTGATATGTACAATAAAGTTAACATTTACGTTCATTTGATCTAGCTCTGCGGGCCTCGTGTTGGCCATTCCTGTTCTAGCTCATACTCTTGATGTTTGTGTAAACGAGGTTCTGTTTAATCTCGTTGGCATATTATCATTTCTTTAAAGAACATTTATACAGTGGGTGATCGATTAATTGAACATAATCCGTTCCTAAACTTTGTTCGTTATCCGAATTGTTCGTTAACCGATTATCGATTTACCATAGGTTTTTATGGGAATTTGATTAATTCGTTCCGGAGACTCCAGAAAAAAATATATACTTTTTTTACTACGTTTATTTATATTTAATAGTAAAAATACATATATATGCAGTCTTGCATTTTTATTAGTCATGTTTTTTTCCATTTGTGGGAGTTAAAGAATCTATCCAATGTCGATTGCTTTTCTCTTTTATTCAGGATTTTTCAGAAATAATTAATAGTATTGTAATTGTATCTCCAACCCCAGTAACCTTATTCTGGTATGGATGTCACTTGGATGATCATTGTTCTGACATCCTCCCACTTCTTCAAAAGATCTTTAGTAGCAGATGTCAACATTGGTCCTCTTTCGTCTTCCTCTTTTTCAAAAGAAAACACATCGCTGAGTTTCTTGGTATTCTTCATTTGAGAGTTCTTCTGTTGTCAGATCAGTTTCAGGTTCCATTATGAGCTCTAAAATGTTCTTTATTTCTCAGATATGATTTTCATTACTCCATTAGCAGCTTGAGACCTCTTGATATATTTTTCATAGCTAAGATTGTGCCTACTGTAGACCTGTTTAAGCCATACTGCCTAGCAACTTCAGACATCTTGTGCCCACTTTCTACCTTGGCTATTATCTCTTACTTGGTTTCTATGGTGAGCACAGTTCTTGACAGTCCTCTTTTTAGACTCCATAATATTATCAGTTTCTTTTTTAAATAAAAAGTTCAGAAAAGCACTTACAAAAATTCAGAGAACAGAGAACAACTAGCCCACAAAAAATTATTTAAATGCAAGGCCCAAATGAAATTCAAAATTTGATATTAAAATGTTAATGAATATCTTATGGGAAGTTAAACTTTCACCTTTTGTAAATAAACCCAGATGCAAAACTTAACAAGTGCCCATTCAACAGTCTCATGAAGATTATAAAAAATTATTTGTCAGAAAGGTAAACAAAAAGCTGGAATTACAAGGGAGCGTTTCAAAATTCGGAGGAATCTGATCGGTATTGGGTTGAGTGTCAATGTTGACGTCTCCTGCACTCCGAAAAGTTTTGAATCGTTGCCTGAAGACAATGGAAAATCAATTGGTATTCATTATTTTCCGTTGCTTCTTTTTATGTTTGTTCAGTAAAGTGTTCATTATCTGAATATGTGTTCATTGTCCGATCATAAAAATCTTTTGCGAAAGTGTTTGTTATCAGATTTGTTTGCTATCTGAACTGTTCGTTAACCGATTACCAACTGTATATTGAAGTGTGAAAGTGTGAAAACATTTAGCTGTTTTGTTTTACATTATGTTCTATTTAACCATTAGACAGTAAATGAAATTCCTAATTTCATTAAACAGAAATATACACTAATTTAACTTTTCAAGAAGTAATCAGAAAAACTAGACTTATTCAGAAACAAATGTTTATTAAAGAATGTGTTAGCACCAGCACTTTAAGAAAGGGCAAATTTTAGCATCTAGCTATGACATATATATCATAAAAAATTTAAGCTTTAATAAAATTCTGAAAAAATGAACTTTGATCTGTAACAATAATTATTTATTTCATTACCTACAGTTCTTTTCCCTATCAATTGCTGTTACTACTAATTCTGTCTGATAATTAATAAAGAAATTGAGTAACATTATTGGCAAAGCTAGTGCCTAAAAACCAGACTCATACTATATTTTGATTCTACAAATCTCTTTTTAATTGTTTAAAAAATCTTTTTGAAGCTAATTGTTATGTTTTTGAGCAATTTTTAAATTCCTTTCATAATTTTGGTTGAAATTTTTGCAAAAATTGAGATGAATATAGCAATACAAATCAGGTGTTCTACCAGCTTTTATATATCCAAGTTTAAAATACATTTCTATTGAAGTTTTCTTTGCTATAAAAGTTTTTATAGCAAAGAAAATGTGGTTGTTACAATCACGTATTTTCCTATTGAATAATTACAAAATCTTTTGTTTTTGAAAGAAAAAACAATATTATTATTATTCAATTTTACAGTTAACTTTTATTAATAATTGAATGATATATATATATATATTAAAAAATGTTCGTACCTTTCTTATTGTAGCATACTCTGCTTTAGAACGAGAAAAACCAAGATAACATGCATACAGAAACAACTCAGGAAAACGAATTAATTCCATTGCAGTTCCAATAAATGTTGCAGTAATTACATAGTTAACATATAATGCACCATTATCAGGAAGAAAAATACATCTGTCAATAATAACAGAAATATTCTTTTAAAATTTCTAAAATTAATTGAATTCAACAAAAGAATACTAAAACATGATATACTTTGAATTATATAATATATTTGCTTTTTTAAGTCACATATTAGATTTTTTTGGCAACTAAATAGTAAATTATGGCCAATAGCAATAAATTTTTTAAGTGTTTTTTTTTTTTTAATTCTTATATATCAAGTTTTGATAATAGAAGAATGTGTAAACACAGCATTCATTATTTTATGTATACAGTGTGTATCAGAACTCCTGTAACAAACTGACAGGACCAAAATTGCTTGTGTTGATCCCTATTATCACCCCCTATGAACAAGGTGTGTAACAGACACCTTTAGGAAATGCAGAGGGTAAATATTTGGTGCTGCTGCTCTTGTTTGCTATCCTGTGAAGTGCATACATTTTACTGTTTACAAGTAGATTTTATGGAATCATTCTGAGAAAAATGGTAAAACCCAGCATTTGCATTATTAGCAGGTAATTAACAATGTAGAATGTTTAAAGAGAAGATGTACCCTGTCAGTTGTATGATGACTATGCATTATACTAACATGGATTATGTCAATATGCTTTTAATTTATGGTGAAGCTGGCAGTAATCAGAGGGCTGCCCAGTGACTGTATCATGAGCATTATCCATGTTTTCTAGTTCTGTTGCTCAGGGTATTTGTATGTGTGTATCAAGTGGTGTTGATGCATCAATGGCTGAAACAAGCAGCTTTGCTTAGACAGATCTGGGACTAGTGTGCCAAAGATAACCTAAATTCTGGACTTTGAAGAATAGGTTTTGGTGCATACTGTGGTGAATCCATTAACAAGTATAGGAGTACTTGCAAATGCTCTAGCAACCAACACAAGTGTCTGGCAGGTCCTGTATAGGCAGCAGCTGCATCTGTATCATCTGCGACAGATAAAAGCATTTAGTCCAGTAGACTGCTTCATTGCTTGATGGTTACTCTGACAGTATGTTAAAGAACCTAGATTTCCAAAAATGGTGTTATTTTCAAATAAGGTGTCATCTACCAGAGAGGATTTATTTAACTCAGGGAATGGTCATATTTGGGACTACAAAAACTCCCATGGCATGAAACTCCAGAGCATTCCAATGCAAGTTTGCTATCAACATGTGAGTAGAAATTGTAGGGTAGCAGCTAGAGTTGCCACTACAGTTCCTGCCTGCATGGGACCATATGTGCTACCACTCCATCTCAATAGCACGTTATACTTGACATTTCTGCAGAAAGCATTGCCAAAACTTCTTCAAAACTTCTAGAAAAACCTCACTTAAACATCTGCTTGACTCTGTTGAAAAACCAATAGCATGAATTGTGGCTGGTCTGGATCATAACATTCCAAAACTTGGGCATAAACCATAACATGATTCAAAGATGTGCAATTTGCAATACCTCCTATATGCAGTATGTACAAAAAAAAATTCTTTCCTTATCCATTTCCTATGTGTACATTATAGACAGGTGCACTGGGTACTGCACAGTTGCACTTGCTTTTGTATTTCTGCTTTTTGTCTTCAAATTTATTACCACACTAATGGCAGAAAACATATAAATTTACATAAAAGTACATAATTACACAAAGACAATTAAATTATTTCTTTTTACAACATAAAAAATTTAATCGTTGGTTTTTAACACTTTGTTAATTGTAAAATTTGTAAAATTGATGTTTTTCCTACTTATATTAAAAGGTATACCTGTATGAAAAAATTTGGTATTGATATTTGCACAACACAAACAATTTTTGCATTTTGATTTTCCTACACATGTGCTTTAAAGGGTAGCAAGCAGGGATAACAGCACCAAATGTTTACCCTCTTGTATCACCTAAAGGAGTTTGTGACACCCTTGTTTCATAGGACCAAATTTGCTTGTACTGACCTCTACTATCACTTCTCTCAGTTTGTTACAGAAGTTCAGATATACCCTGTATTATTATTATATCATTATTATTCCAAATATAAAAATAAAATAATCTAAGATAATTTATTACTGATCCTGAAAAAAATTATGACATTAATAATAATTTATGAATTTCACATAATCACATTTGCTGAGAATTTAATGATTAAATAAAGTTTTGTTCAATTAAATCAATTTAGAAAAATCTAAAGTTATATTAAATTAAAATTTATTTAATCATTAGATTTCTCATCAAATAAGCAATACATCTAATTACAGTGTTATATTCATAAATGCAAAAATACTATCAGCATTTTCAATAATAAAATTCTTCTTCAGGGTACTTAACATTTCTTAAATAGTAGAAAATTAAGTAAATCAAACAGAATTTAAATAGGATATCCTTTACTTAACACTGTAAAATCCACCAACATTTCACATATATGAAACATTTCATAATTTCATGAATATATGAAATTTAAAATACATTAATAACAAATACACATCATGACAGAAAAAAATGCCACATGAAATGATTAAATTGAATGTACAGTACATAAGTTAATAAATTATTAATAACTTATTCATCAAGTAAACCTGATTGAATCAATTATTTTTTCTATTCTTTAGGAAGGGAATAAATCTAATTTACAATGAAGAAAAACTAAGATTTTGTTGCAATGCTATGCAAATTGGAATGTATGTTTAAACTGAAACATGAAAGTTATTTCAATTTCAAATCAATCATATGATAAGAACCAAGATAAAAAAAAGAAAACTGGTCTGCTAAGTTTGCTTAGCAGACCAGTTTTCTTTTTTTGCAGCCATAGAAAGTCACAGAAGCATATTTCTGTGACTTTCTACGGCTGCAAAAAAATGTTCTTTATTCTGCTACATAAAATAATATAAAGTTTAAAAAGATGAAAAACTGCTTTTCAGATATCAACAAAAACCTTTCCATCAACAGATGCACTTATCAGAGGTTTCATTATAAGCCTATGTATTGTACAACCAATTGGTCTCCACATTGTATTTGGTGGAAGCACAACAAATGCAACAACTGTGAGTTGAATTTGGAGACAGTTGTTAGAAGAAGGAATATAGAGGAACTGCAGCCTACAGACAAATGTCAGAATATGTTGATTACTACATCAATGATTACACACAATAGCAATCCCATTACTACAACTGACTACATTCCATGAAGTCTATCAGGAGAATTGGGGGTTCTAATATTGACACTACTTACTAACTATTACTTGTAGATTGATTGTGGCAAGTTTGTGCCCTACCACCATTTCAGAAGACTACCCCTCACCAGTCTATCACTGTAAAAGATTGCAGTAGTTTTACCTGAGCTATTTAGCATGACAAGTGGAAGTATGTTCAGCAATGAATCTTGCATCTGCCTGAGCACTGATGATTGCTGATTGAGTGTGGAAGAAACTGCTGAGCTGATCTACTGCCATTCATGAGCATAACACAACTCAATGTTGAGTTATGATTTGGAGTGCAATCAGCATCAACAGATAATCACCTCTAGTACATATAACAGATACAATGCCTACATACTGATATATTGACGATGTGTTTCAGTCTTTGTTACTGCATCTTCAGGATAACAAAATGCCATTTTTTAGCTATAGCTAGATAACACTGGCATGTAGTCCCTACAAGATATGCAAGTATTTCTCTGGACAATAATCGCCAAATCTCCCTCCAATTGAGAACTTATGGGATATTATTGGCCATTGGGTGAATGCTTCTGCCTAATGCTTTCAAAATGAAGGTAAATTGTGGACCATAGTATTGACTATGGTCGGCATTTCTCAGGATGCGATTTGAAGATTCTATAGACTCAACGTCATGCTGTGTTGCCAAATTTATCAGCCGACTGGGGTCATAAGACCTAGTGAGTTAGGCTGAGTTACCATATATATTTGGCTACTAGATCAATAAAAAATCTCAAAATTAAATTCATTAATTCACAATCTACTTGTTTGTGTATTTACTAGTTTAGTCTCATTTTGTATATTCCTTTAAAGTGTGGCATTTTCTCTATCAAATACTGTATTGCTAAATCTGTTATTTATATATTTTAATTTAAAAAATATTTTAAATTTAGTTATAAAAATTATAAAAATAAAATAATATACATAATTTCAAACATTTTAAATTCATTAAACAATTTATATAATCCCTGCAAACTTGGACTTCTCATAGCTCAGACAAATTTTTTGAAACAACAATGTTTTTCTTTTTTTGTACAGTAAGTTAACACTTAGGCCCTGTACACACTAGGCGTTTTTCAATGTGCGTTAAACGCTCGGCGTTCGACGAGCGTTTAGCGGAGCGTGCGCACTGGCTCAGTTTGGAAATGGATGTGGAAGTGATTGCTTGTGTGTGGCTCCTCTATCGTCGCTATAAAAGATGACGGCAGAGGCAAAGAGAATTTTGGGTGCACCCAATATTACGAGATAGACTGACAGATGAAATGTTTGTGACATTGTATCCAAAACTAAGACAAAATAAATTCAAGTTTTTTAATTCTTTTAAAATATCTATAAAATCCTTTGACGATGGTTGGTCTCTTTTAGATTTCATCAATAAATAGATCAGTATCGAAATGATCGTTCTCCATTTCAGCACATATATCTCAAAGCGCTCGGCTGACGCCCGCAAAACGCGCGATCGCATGTACGGTAACATGGCAGCACATATATCTCAAAGCGCCCGTAAAGCGCTCGCAAAACGCGCGTTTTAACAAAAATCTATAAGCGCTCGCAAAACGCGCGTTTAACGCGCGCTTGGCTTTTGAGTGTGTACGGCTACATAGAACTCTTGGTTCTTTTAAACGCGCGTTTAAAAGCGCGCATTGAAAAACGCCTAGTGTGTACAGGGTCTTATTGACAATGGAAAAATTATAATTAACAAGTATTTGATATCTAGAAGTATTTTCAATATTGTACCAGTACATTGCATTACTGTATTTGTTAAGTTACTAAAGTCACTAAAACTCAGTAAAACTTCTGTATAGAGCTGATCTTAATAAGTTATTGTAGTGTATACCAGTCTGAGTTAGCAGGGATTTACTGTACATTGAAAACACATCAATAATACTTTGTTTACAATGTAAAAAAGAAAACTTTTTATTGTTGTATTTCTATTTGATTAAAATTTTATTTATTAAAAAGTATTTCTAAATTTTTACCTCCATCGAGGAGAATGGCCTTTATTTTTCAAAGTTGTTTCTATTAATACACGTAAGCTGAAATAAATAATTGTGATTAGTTAAAAATAAGTTAAATAAGTTTTTAAACCTATTTTAGTTATAAATCATTTATTAATAAAATAAAAACATTAAAAATTATAGTGATTAAAAGCTTGTAAGTACAGTAAAAGCTTGTTAATAGTGCTGGAATGGTGACTAGAATGATGCTGAATTAACAAAAGACTGGCTTACAGGATGTTTGTGTAGCAACATCCATCCTTCATCTGCTGAACAGAGATAGTAATGACCTAGATATGTGGGTTTGGTTATTTTCCTCACTTTACCCACAAGATCACACGTGACCCCTATCATACTTTGCTTGCCATCCACCTTTTTGTGATCTGAACTTTCATCACCTCCTTACAGACTTTTAATTGAGACTGAAAATACTTTTTAAGCATACTGTATGATATTTTAGTTGGGTTAGTTTAGTTTATTTCATTGTCATTTTGTTTCTTTCATGTTTTTATTGTAGTTTAGTTTATTTTCATATTTATTCTTTCACTCCAAATTACTGTTACAAATTCATTTTATTTTATTTTTTTAAATTAAACAAAAATTCTGTTCAAATTTTAAAAAATTGTGATCTTATAATCTTAGTGTTTTTCCTTCTCTGATTTTACATGGATTTGACTGTTCTGTATTTTCATATTTTCACAAAATTTGATAAGCATTTGAAGATACTGCTGTACATTTTTGTACCAGCACAAGTTGCTGTATGCTGCTGATTTGTTTAAGCAAATCTTTTATCAGTCTGATGATGATATAGTGCATGTTGACAAACGTTGCTTGTCAATGTGAGATAAAGTGAGAAAGTTAACAGAATTGCTTCATTTGTATAAAATTGTTTAATATCTTGACAAAGTTTATTTTTTTGGACACTTTCAAACATGTCTATGGTATGTAATTGCTTGTAGCTCTGTACTTTCTTTGCATAGAGGTTGTTTAGTACAATGTGAAGATTCATCATTTTGAGTATGTGTAACAAAGGCGCCTTTCCACAAGTTTCAAAAATTTTATGGTGTGTTCAATTCCTTGCACCATATCTTGTGCCTTCATTCACTTCATTTTTTTCAGCATCAGTCAAAACTTCCACAACAGCTTCACTTTCATCTGTGTGTAGCCACTTGTCAATTTCATTTTCTGAAAGATACATCATTGGAAATTCGTGGATATAGCTTGGAGAATCATTTGTATATTACTGGCAGATCTTTCCTTCATAAACAGAAGATTCCTTATCATAGAACAGATTTTCATTTTGTGTAATTATGTACTTTTATATAAATTTATATGTTTTGTGCCATTAGTGTGGTAATAAATTTGAAGACAAAAAGCAGAAATATAAAAGCAGAAATACAAAAAGTCTTGGCAGATACTTTGGCTTGCTGTTATGCAGGCCAAAGTATCTGCCAAGACTTTTTCAGAGTAGACTTAGAAACATTGTTTTATGACAGTGCTTGCATTGGCTTACACTGTGTCTTTAATGTTGTCCACAGATTACAATTCAATATTCCTGAAAACATAATTCACTAAATTTCCAAGTTTCTCCACAGATTCTGAGTTCCCGATCCATTGGCTGAATCAATGCCATAATGTGTGTTGGGAGATATTTTGTGAATGTTTCTACAAACAAGCTTGCAAGGGGCTTATGCTTGATAATTGTTGAGCATAAGAATGTCTCTACTATCTTTAAATAATCCTTCTTTTTAAAATTCTCATTGGTGGCAGGAACAAACATGGAAAAATCAGCTTTTGAAAATTAGAGCTGTCATTCAAGTACTCAACTATATTTTGTAGCATACTGACAAACTTGTCAAGTTTTTAAATGCCCTTAACCTTTTAAACATCTCTACAGAACCAGCTTGATGGGTGAGGCAATGAGGTGACTGCCTCAAGCATCAAAATGAACAGTCAAATATGTCCAAAAGAAGAAAATACATAAAAATAATAAGATAAATACAATGAAGTAGTGTGAATATACTTTAATTTTGTTTACAAATAGCACTTCTAGTGCTAACACTCTTGTATGACCTCTCTATTGGCAAATGTTCTGGAAAAAGACAACAAAAACTGATTTTGCCCCAGATTCAAGTTACTATTATGCTGGTATTGCTTGCTTATAACCATAAGTTTGAGTTTTTACATATGACAGAAGCATTTGCACTCACAATCACTATAATTCTATCATTTTGTTTAAATCCCTTATACTAAGTTTATACTAGGAAAGTTAAACTCATTAAATTTGAATGTTCACAATTATCTCAGTAAACTAGGTTAAATTGTCATACTTTATCAAACCAAGTACTGGTAAATATTAATCAAAATACAAAATAAACTTAATACAGTAAGTTAAACTCTATGCCAAATGTTATAATATAAGAATAGATAAAATAAACACACTATCAGATGGTGTTAAAATCTTTTTTATAATACAAGTAATTTTAAGTATACAGAGATGATTGAATTGTCATGACAATTCAATTATCTCTGACTTGAAACAGAACATCACTGTGTGCAGTATAAAATTCTCAACATTTAAACATTTAAAATTCACAACAGAATTTGAGGCTGACAAATACAAGAATGAACAAAAATTTACAATAAAAGGTGGAAAGGAACTCCAAAACATTTTTATGGCATGAGTCCACGGTACATTATATGGGACAAGTAGGGTAGTGTGGCATCGTTGAAAAGTTTAAAAAGTGAAATCCACAAGTTAGGATGTTCAAGTGTGAATGTATTGCACAGGCACGGGCAAAGGAGGGCTTTCCAAATAAATAATACTCTTTGATCTGCACAACACTTGAGGAGGGTGGTCTGAGTGCACAAAGGAATGAAATTGGACTCTGACTATTTTGATCAGTATTTTGAAGCAGCTACATTTTGTGTTATTCTCTTAGCATGACTTGCAGCATTCTAACTGTAGTGCCAATAAACAATGTATTTTCTCCCATTGTCAGGTGCAAAAGCAATTCAGTGAAAACTTAATATAGGAATATAGGTAATAAGCAATGATATGTATATTATAATCAACAGATGAACCCAGTGTTGTCCAGGCAAAAAACAACAACAAAGATTAAGATTATTAGATTATTTCATACTTCTAATCCTTCTATTCTAGTAGCCCAGAACGCCCCCTAGTGGACGTTCTAGCAGCAGCAGTGTCATTCCGTCGTATAAATAATAAATTCCTATTACAAATAAAAATAATAATATACTGAATTTCTCATGGCTTACCCTACTACTAAAATGCAGTCAAAAATGCAAAAAACCACATCAAATAATAATATACTGATTTTATTGTTAATTTAAATAATAGCTAGGGGTGCCCCTAGGGCCATTTTTGGCATACAGTGACAGAAAGAAATAATCTGATTTTTCAGCTTTATACAGTTAGATATTTAATATCATTGTCTATGTATATATATATATATATATATATACACACACACACACCTATTTAAATCAAATTTTGTATGAAATATGCATCTATGTTTGTAAATAACCAATTCATAATTTCTAAATGAGAGAAAGTGCAATGGTGGCATTTCCAGTTTTACCCCACATAAATATCAACCAGAAATGTTGATTATCCAACAATGAAGTTAAACTCCCATAAGCATCAAGTTATTCTCTCTCTCCACTTTCTAGTATACGCAATGTTTTCCAGGATTTACGTGTTCTTGTTGCAAGCCTTACTAGTCCCGATAGCTGTTTTCCATTTAATTTATTTGGCTTTTAACTTGTCTACTCCTCTAATCTCACCTTTGTGACACAATTGTAACTTAGTATCTCAGCATTCATCCTGGAATTTGAAAAAAAAAAACTTATAATAAGTAGATAATTAAAAGCAATACATTAGATAGAAAACAGTCAAGTTTCCCAGTGTGAACCTAGTATTAGTAGCTTTCTCATCATTTCCAACAAAGATAAACTTTAATAGGCAATGCCAAAACAACCCACTTTTAAACTTGTATATCTGAGAAAGCAATAAATTATTACCCTTTATCACTCCTCAAAAACATTGCAGTATTCCTCTGTAGCAACATGATTGTAACCTTTTTATCTCCACAGATATTTATTTTTCAAATGCCATGTTGTTTGAATGTAACTGGTACTCCTTCAGAGCTTTTTTGCCCTTATACAATGTTGCATCAAATTCAGCCATTTTTGATAAACTGCACATTCCAACATTTTGTAATGACTTATTGGAAAAATTTGATTATTATTCAAATAAATACAGTATTAAATAATTCTGGATTATTGGCTACTTTTCAAAGAGTGCAAATTACTGGACATTCTAGATTATCAGGTACTGAATTAACAAACTTCTACTGTATTCCAAAAACTTAAACATTATACATTTAACATACCTTATTTCACCTAAAGATGGTAGAATGAGTATCATGAAGATAAGCAGAAGATATGTTTTAACCATAACAGAATGATTGTAAGATGATCTGTAAAATAAACAATACTATTGATATATAAATTAACTTTTAAAACTTTAGAATTTCTTTACAAATTCAACAATTATGAAATCCTAAATAGTTATTATGTAATAGTAAAGTAAGAGTTTTATTTATAATTTTAAGAAATATTTTAGTAGTAGGACAATAAAATAAGATTCTCAATCTAATATGCCATCTTATTGATATATTTTTATGATCTAACTTTAAATATAACTGTGTTTAATATGATGTAAAAGAAGATTTATAAAAACAAGAAAGTAATCTATTAGCTAAAATTTTTTATATTAACAATCTTTTTACACAATTAATTTATTAGTTATAAGCAGGGCACAAAGTGAGTGTTTCCAAAAAATAGTAAAAAAAACAATAGTGAAAAATAAGAAAATTCAAAAATAGAATAAAATTACTTTAAAAAAATAGGAAAAGTAGGACTGCAAATGATGAAAAGTAAGAAAAATAGAAATAAAAATTCCAAAAATATGACCAAAAAAAAAATTCATCTATTAATTAAAAATAAGAATAAAAATTTATCAATATAATGAAAATAGAAGTGTAAAAATTAGGACTTAATTAATTACACATTCTTTTGTTTAGACAAAGAAACAAGTTCATAAACAATTGAGCAACTATTTATTGTAACATCATCACAATGCCAGGCTGCAATTTTTAATCATATTTTTAATTTATTTAATTTAAAATACATGCTCTCCATCTCAAATTAGTAGTAGTGACTTGCACCTGTACATCATACTTTTCCTGTTAGTAATAGAGTCATGCCAGTCATCTATTAACTGCTTTCACAGGAAAAGTTTTGAATTGAAAAAACATGACTTCTGGTTTGCATCAGAAGTTCATATGTTGTTAATTGAACCTCCTGCCCTACGGTTTCCATATTGCTTTCATTTATCTAACTCTGTTCTTGAGATTAAGAAAAATCAGACGGACAGTGGAAATTTATAGGTCTACAATTCTTTCAAATTGCAGCCCAATAAAGATGCAAGATTATCAATAATTTTATTAGAGATATTTCTTATTCAAAATAAACAAAGAATAATACAGTTAACAACTGTATAACATTTTTAACCAGATTACTCTAAACTATTCAATTTTTCTTGAGCACTAGATTCTTCAGTAATTCTTTGAATGTCTTTTATACTAGTCTCTAACACTGTTGACACAATTCTGATTTATGTAATCTTTCTTTTTTAAAGCTTTTCATGACCTTTTTTTATTTTCAGCTAAGTATTTTTGTGCTGAAGTTAATTCATCTTACAAAAATTTGATTTTAATTATGACAGCCTTTGCAGTTTTTGCTAAGGAACTGGAAGTGAAAGTACTGTGCAATGGGAAGGGGTAAAAATTAAATGACCTGTGAAGGACATCATGGACTTGAATGTGCTATAAAAATATAAATCTATAAATCTGTTAAGAAGGAAGAATCTGTCAATTCAGAGATGCAGAGTCCTCTTTAATGCATGGAAATCACATTATGAAATATTGTAAATGTTTTTTATTGTAGTATGTATAAATGTTGAAGCTGGTGGGATGGGTTACACTATTTATTGAAATATTTAGATTGTTTAAAAATATAATTTAAATTACCAAAAGGAACATGTAACAGTTTATATTCTACTTAGCACAACTTCAATTTTTGTAAAAGTTTCTTTTTTTTTTTTTTTTAATTCAAGATTTGAAAATTGAAACTCAAATTTCAATTAGGATAATGCCAAATGATTGCCAGATTACATCAGGATATATCAATAATAATACTACCATTTAATAATTAAATGTCAAGTAATTTGGCCTACAGATAGTCATTATGTGCCATCTCTTGATAAATTTAATAATTATAATTAAATTAATATTTAATAATAATTTAGAAGGTTCTGGAAAAGAAAAATCCACAACTCTTGCTTGCCATACTGGTTACTCACAGATCAAAAAATCAGGTTAATGGATATTTATATACATACACTGTGTGGGGTAAAGTGATAGCTGTCTAACTGCCGTAGAGGGAGTCACAGCCTATGGATACTGAAGTTGTCCCCAGTCAGCTCCATGAGTAACCAGTATGGTTACATCTAAATTAATAGTTTTGGAAGTAAAGATCAGATCAAGTCTAGGTAGCTAACTGGCAATGAATCCGCACAGCAATCAGGAGTTGCAAGTTCCATTCTGGGATGATTCTTTTCTTCCAGAACCTTCTAAATTAATTGTTAAATATTAATTTAATTATAATTATTAAATTTATCAAGAGATGGCACCTAATGACTAACTCTAGGCCAAATTATTTGACATTTAATTATTAAAATGGTACAATTATCACAGCCTGATCATTTGGCATTAATCTAAACATCAGGTTAATGGATGTTTATATCAATTAGAATATTTGGGTTCTAGAATTTGAATTTTAAAAATGTGAAGAAGGTCACTGAACATATTTGAAAACATTAGTCTATATTGTAAATAACTTTTGATGGATTTTAAGGTATAAAAGTGTTTTTATTAACAAAATTCAGTTGAAAGTTTAAGTGTTAAATGAATTGTTGATGAAGAAACATGAAGTCTATTAGAATACATAAAAAAACAAAAAGGAAATGCTGAAAGAAGCTAAAAATGCTGAATTACTGCAAACCAAAGGTACAAAGAAAGCATACTATCAGGTAACCAAAAAAGTTCTGTTGTTTTTTTGTCGAAAGAAAACAAATATAAAAATGTATAGGAAATACACAATTTATTCATCGAAATAACCATCCTCACATTCAATAACCTTTTCCCAATGGGAAACAAGTTTATAAATTCCATTTTTATAAAAGTCACAATCTTTAGAGTTGAAAAACTTCCCTAACTCCATTTCTATAACCTCTCTATTTCTGAACTGTCGATTTTGCAGATGATTATCTAGGCATAAAAATAGGTGATAGTCAGAAGGGCTAATGTCAGGGAAATAAGGAGGGTGCAAAAGAGGTTCCCATCCAAGGGTCTGAATTGTGTCAGAGGTCACATGCGCAACATGATGTCTATAGCATTATCATGTAAGAAAAGAATGCATTTACAGTTTACTAAAGCTGGCTGTTTTTTCAAAAGCGATTGGTGAACTAGACGGAGTTGGTCACTGTAGACATTAGCAGTAATAGTCTGGCCAGATGGTATAAGTTCATAGTGAACAATTCCATTTGCAGTCCACCATACGCACAATATTGGCAAGTGTCAATTGATGAGGCATCCATTTGCTGAATTTGTAAACTTTCCCAAGACTATGCAAATATAAATGGACAGTTTGATCACTTAGAGAGAACTTTTGTGCTAATATCTGACAAGTTTGAGCGGAATCTTCTTCGATTGCAGCCTGTAATTCATCATTATTAATGACATATGGCAGCCCTTCTCGTGGCACATCTTTAAGCGACTCATCACCAAAAGGAAATTTTCTAAACCACCTTTGGGTGGTGCGAGTGCTGACAGAACCTTGTTCAAAAGCCTGGCATATTTTTGAGTCATTTGCACAGCATTTGTTCCAAGTTTAAACTCATACAACTTACAAGCATGAATTATAGAGTTTGGAGTACTCATCTTCAGGTCAATTTTTATATTATTAAGAGATAACCTTTCCGCTTCTCTTTATATAAGATGAGTCAGCATTAAATCTTGATTAACATATTGCTGGAATTTTAGTACCATCTATTGTGTATTGCGTTTAACATTCTTTAAACTTTGTAGTTTCGTAAAAAACGACAAAACTTTTTTGGTTACCTAATAAAAGTGAAATTGATAACATGAAGGAAAAAGTGGAAGAATAAAGCCCTCTATGGCCAATACCTTAATAATACTGAAGGGAAAACTGACACTAGAAGAACATGTGAGTGGTTAAGAAAAGAGACTTTAAAGAAAGAAACAGAAGATCTAATTCTTGCTGCACAAGAACAAAGCACTAAGAACAAATTCAATTAAACACAAGTTTAAATGTCATATAATAAATAATCCCAGGTGTTGCCTCTGAAAATAGAGTAAAGCATATCATAAGCTACTGTAAGAAATTGTACAAACTGACTACTTTGAATGACAAAGTTGCAAAAATGTTTCACTGGAATCTTTGAAGAATGCATGGCTTTCAATGTAGCAAGACTTAGTATGAATACAAAATATTAAAAAATTGTTGAAAATATAGAAAAAATACTTTGGGATTTTTGATTACAGATGGTAAGCATTTGATTCATAACACCCCATATATTATGCTGATAGGAAAAACAAAAACATGATATGGATTATACATGTGGCAGTCCCAGATTACAAAAGGATGGAGAAAAAACAATTATAGAAAATCACTAAGTACAGTATAAGGACCTGCAAATCAAGGTTGTGATTATAGTTACAGTTCCAATTGTAGATGAAGCACTAGGAGCCATTCTAAAACAACACCTGAAGAACCTAAGCTTAACAAAATCAACATCCACATGCTACAGAAAGCTATACATTGCATTACTTGGGACAGAACATACTTTGAATAATTATTCCATGTCTCTGAGAGACACTCATCATTTAGGAGAGAAATATAGCCATTAATAGCTAAGGAGCTGTGTTTATGCTAAATAATAAGCCTAAAATCCAGATTAATATATTTTGGACTTCAGCTGCTTTATATGTACCAACAGAGTGATACTTCTTGTTATTTTTGACTTTCTTTATAATCTTGCAAAAATTGATAATGACACAGTTCTTATAATTTCAAATAGCCTTTTGATGATAATGTAGAAATGTTAAGAAATTTAAAAAATTATATTTAGATTTTATAAATTTATGATTTTACAAGACAAAATCTCACTGTGTAAAATCAATGATTCTAAACTGTAAATATTAAGAATGAAAGGGAAAATGGTTTAAAAATTCAACAATAAATTTAGTTTCAATTGATATACAAGGAGAAATCTATGTAAAAAAAACTGACAAATGAAAATTTTTTTGATAATGACTGAAATGTACTCTTTTAAAAGACAGACAAGTAAATTTCTATCATAAAAATTTGAGATAACTTATCAATGTTAATGGAAATCAGATTAAAAATAACTATATATAAATATATATTAAATTGATTACCTTGTCCAATGAAACAGAAACTGGTCTGTATAAGCAACTGCAATAGGAAGAATTACTGATACAGCCCATAACAGAAAAACTTGAGATTGCTCAGAAAGAACGCTGTTCTGAAAATTAAAAAGTTAGATGTATAAATTATATTTAGTATCATAAGTATCTATATTTTCAATATATGACATATTTTTATGGTTAGACAATGTAAGGACACATAGGCTTTGGACCACCCATATGACATATTGTTATTGATCCAAATTATTATTAAATTAAAAAAAAAAAATCAGCTATAGTCAGCAGTTTTCTGATTATTCAAAATAACATCAAGCTTTTAAATATGAATATTCAAAATACATTAGTAGGGCAATTCTAGAGAACTGAATTCTTGATTAATCCACAATCCAAATGAAATACATAAAATTTTCAAAAATTTTTTGAATTATTATAAGTATGGATTTATTCTATTACATAAAAGAATTTTCCCCCTCTCTTTCAATTATAAATGAAGAGGAAAAAATTTCCAAACAAATAGTTCCATTTCATATCAATATTAGTGCTGCTTATACTTTTTCCATCAAATAATAATGTTATAATAATCCTGCATAGAAGTGCAATGTAGCAAAGAATAATGTTCCTTAAAAATCATCATGCTATATTTTAGTGGTTATATTTTTACATTTAGTATTATTTTTAAACACACAGTATATAACTTTTGCAATATTTCAATTAATTTCATACTGAATAATTATTGAATTCTATTTCTACTGATGATTCAATTTGTTACTTTGTATATTATATTTTGTAATTATTACAGTAAATAAATTTTTTATATAACTGATTTTGCATCAAATTACAATTAATAAATTATAATACACTAGCATTAGTGTGATAATACAAAGTAACTATGTTGTTGCAGTGAAATTTTACCAATGATATAAGGACGTATGTAAGTTGCTAATTTAGGTCTACATTTTCCAGAAAATTTTTCAAAAAACATTTTAGAATTCAATATCACTTACAAGGAGATGGCCAGATGTTGTCCTCTTCAATTCAAACAAAACTTAGCAAGCATGTAGCCCTAAACACAAATTGTTCATTGTCCAAATAATAGCACCCACCTCTCAAGCGTTTCTGAAAAATGGGCCTCTGAAAATTGGGTGTTCAGATTATAAGTCTAGAAGTTCTACGTATTGTAAGAATGGCAGTAGCTGAGTGGATAAGGTTGTATATGCTAGAACTACTTGATATGGGCTCAATTCTAGGCAACTTCAGTTTTTTTTTTTTTAAGTAATATGTAACATAATTATATTATTATTTTAGCATATCATTAGCATTATTATTACTATTCTTTTCCCTCACATTTATAGCTTATAAAATGAGATTAAAAATTATGACATCATTTCCTGTTTAGAGAGAACAAAGTTTCTATAGATTTAACTCTATGTCATTTATGTCGTTAAATAAAACTTTTATTTCTTCATATTTATTTTCAGATATTTTAGCTTATCAACTCTGTCAACACAAGTGAATAAGCTTCAGATGTTACTGCTCAAGGACAAAAAAGACAAGTCACTGATATGAAAATAGGATAGCATAGTTGCAGCACTTTTCTTTTAATTGTTAATGTTATGGACAATTTCCTCATGTGCTTATGTTTGTTGCACTTCAAATAAAACAATACCACCATATCTGGAGCTTACATGAGGAATAAGAATAATAATAATAATAATAATAATACATTAAAATAATAAAATACCTATGTTACACATTAAAAAAATTATAATAAAATATACAAAACTCGCAAAGGATCAAACCCATATCATGTAGGTATAGTGTCTAGAACAGGGCTTCTTAAACTACGAGTCACGACCCCACTTGGGGTCGCTTAGTGAAATCTTGGGGTCGCAAGATTTTAATGCAAAATATTTAAAATAATTTGTGAGAGTTTGAAAATGGCATGCTTTGTGTCATAGGTTTCGTGAGTTGTGCTTTGTGTCACTTCTGGTGCAGCGAGACAACGATTCACCAACACTGATTGTAGTGTGAACTAGTGTAGTGTTGTCGCTTTTCAGTGTATTCAGTTGTCCCTGTTCCATTGTAACACAAGAGCGAACTGTGGTAGTACACCATTATTGTTTTTGCAAATTTGTATATACTATATCTTTATTTTATATTTTTTTTTCTTTTTGGGGGGATCGCGAAAAAAAATCACAATCATAAATGGGGTCGTGAATTAAAAAAGTTTAAGAAGCCCTGGTCTAGAACCTTATCCACTTGGCTACTACCATTCTACTGTTTGTCAAGTGTTTAGCTTATAAGTCTGAAAGTTCTACGCAGTAGAACTTCCAGACTTATAAGCTAAACACTTGATTTTCAGAGGCCCATTTTTTGGAAACACTTGAGAAGTGGGTCCTATTATTTGGACAAGAAACTATTTGTGTTTAGGACTACATGTTCGCCAATTTTTGTTGAATTGGAGAGGACATCTGGCAGTCTCCTTGTTAGTTTTAACTGAAGTATATTATATATTTATTCACAAGTATCAAATAAATATTTAAATGCTGATATTAATGCATATCAAATTTAATGAGAGATACATTAAATAAAAAAAAATTTGTTAACTTCATTTTTAATATATTTTTATAATACAAAATAAGTCTATTTTAATTTTTAAAATATTCCATTTAAATAAAAATCATCAGATAAATTGTAAATAATTTTTAAAATAATATTACAACTTTAAAAGTTTAAAACACTAAACTATAATGATCAGGGTTTCTCATTTCCCAGTCTTTTGCTTGTCCCAGGATCCCAGGATATAATTAATTATTTTTAAGATATATAATATATCTCAAAATCAAATGATGTAATTATTTTTAATTTTTTAAGTAATTTAATACATTCAGCAACCTTCAAAATAATAATAATAATGCTATGTAAAATATGTATTAAAAATTACCTTTGTAAATATGTATTCAAAATTACATAGAAATTTTCACAAATAGAAAAAATTTATTAAAGTTTGTTGGAAACTGTTTACAACAACAACAAAAAAAATGCCTTTGAGTTGAGTTGAAAAATTAAAGAAAAAAATAAACTTTGATCAAACTTCTAAGTTACTAGGTAATTTTTGTTATTTAAATGTAAATAAATAAAACACAATACAAAATATTATTTTAAATTTTTATAATAAGATTTTAAAAAGCAAAAATGGTCAATACTCCAATCACTCAATTTGATTCTTATTTTAGTAATGAGAAGTCCTGCTGTTGAGAATGCACTTTTCAATTCAATTGATGTGGGTGGAATTGTCTTTAATGCATTTATGAGAAGACAGATGTTATGTGTTTCTCATCTGTAGCCTGGAAGATTTCTAGTTCGTTTTCGAGATGAATTACAGTACTTCTTTTGCTGTCTAGTATTCTTGATTTGTCTACCTCGGTTGCTTTAATAACGGCATCAAGCTTATAGCCCGATAATATGGCAGTTCATTAAACTTTAATAATCAAGTTTATGAAAGAAACCTTCATACTTGCATACTTCAAACTTGTTTGTATCCTGGTCCAATTTGCACAACCTGACATAATGCAGTTATTGAAGCTACTGGACATGGTTAAAAATTAAGACAGCTTTGGTGCAATTATTCAATACATTACAGATTTCAACAAGATTTTCAGAGTCCTGCCACAAAAATGCTACATATTCATTATTGACAATCTGTGACATGCCATAATATGCAAAAATTTAGAAAACTTATAAGCAGGCTTAAAATTAATAGATACAAATGTATTCTGATGGTTTATGAGTTAATTACACTTTCTATTTGCAAAATTTCCTCAACTTTAACACAAAATAAGAAAAAAGCAAATTTTTAAGAAATTTGCAGGTTTTCCTGGTATTCCATTGGAGAAATCCTAATAATCATACATAGGTAATTTTGCATGTTAATTTATAAAAATGTTTTTATATATAACCAGGAAACAAAACTATGGTAATGTAATAAAACAATTTTATATATGAAACATTTTAAAAGTCTTTTTGTTTTTCTTCATATAATTTTTTTGACAATAAATTCTTAATTGATTGCTTAACTAGTACAAAACATTAGCATATTATAGGTTGTCTGGTCTCAATTATGTCTATTACAAGCAAACCTGAGATGATAAATCAAATTCAAAATTAAATAGTAAAAAAAAAAATCAACAATAGGTTTAAAAAAAACAAGAATTATCTTCACCTAATGCTAAATTATGTTTCACCTATAATAATAATCTTTGATATAATTTTATTTTAGTTTGTTATTTTTGTTAAAAAAGACAAACTAAAATAAAAAACAAAAATTATAAATTTGATCTAAAAGTAGCACTAAGAATTCATTCATATACTATTGATAATCATTGTTATAAATTTTAAAAAATATAATACATATTTAAAATTTTAGATTTTGATAATGGGGCATTTAAAATGATTATATACTAAAACAGTGTCCATACTAAATTATATATTTTATGGACACTGAATATAAATTACATCAAATATAAAAAATAAAAAATTTTTAATTGTTATCAATTATAAATAACATGGAATGGGTGGAGAATTGTGTAAATGAAAATTTTGATCTCCCTTCACTCCCTTCTGCCATAGTATTCTTGCTACATACATAAAACAGCATTGCAAAGAGTTTTAGAGCAAAATCCTCTTTGTTGAGTTTTGGAGAAATAATATGCAGTGTAATATAAACTTAATACACTTTCCAGAAAAATATTTGGTTTTGTTTTATTATTCTATATGTAATCTATACTGTTTTGTTATTGAACAAACTTATTTCCTGGTTATTTTATCATAATAGAATTTATAATATTGTAAATAAAATTATTTGTTTCATATCTTTTAAAATGTTATAATCAGAATAGTTTGATTCATGACAATTCATGAAAGCATTATACATTTACAATTACTGTATATTTTTATATTTTACTACATATTTGTTAATAATCAATAAAAGATATTTATGAATTATAAATCAAACATTACATGGAATATTTTCATTCATAATTAATAAATACTATTGCTAATTACAGACAGATTCATAAATTGCAAAACAACAATAGTTCATTAAAAATTTATGAATTTAATTATTTAGTTTTATTAGATTCATTTTAAAAAGTTTATCAATTTTTTACAGATTTTCTAGTTAAATATTCAATTTATTTCTAATTAGATATATTCTATAAATAATTGTTGTGGTCAAATAAAACTATGCAAAAGAAAAGTTGAGAGAGTGAACAGAGAATTAAAGGAAGTTGATTAGATATTCAAAAGATTCTTCAAACTATACTTTTATCAAATATAGCTCTTCCCAATATCCATCAAATGTCTAAATTTTTAAAGCAAAATTAACAAAACTATAGATAAAGGAAATAAACTAAAACGATTAATAAATTAAATTCAAATCATACAGTAGTATTTTTGCATCAAAGTAAGACAATTAATAAAGTTGACTAAATACAGTATTTATAGTATTTACAGAATTTAAATCTGTTGATGAGTAAATTTGAAAAATCACAAAAATTTAATTTTAACAATGACAAATAAATAATATATTCAATTGTTTGTTTCAGAAAGAAGAAATTTGCAGAATATAATTGAAAGTTCTCACACATTGTCAAATCTACTAATTTGTACAGAAAACATGAATACTATGGATATTAATCTACAAATATATCACTTATAACCTTATGGCTTTTTCTCACTAAACCCATGGATTTATATATACTGTATTGTATGTAATTTACTTGTTTAAGGACCTTGATACTATGTAGGCCATAAAATAGTCACTGTGAGCCACAAGTTGACCATACCTAATCTATAAAATCTCCATTGTTAAATGCGTCACAGTTTCTTTTCTCCGTAAGTTGAAGGTCACCTCTTGCATTATTATTTTGTGTGTGACAAACCCTGAAGGAGGAGGTCAAAATTTCAATTTATAGAATTCTCCAATCACACAAAATACATTTAATTTATACAATAGATTACAGATTACGATTGCAACAAGTCAATTTAATACTTACAAAAATATTCAATTCTTCTTTATTTACATTAATAAATTTCACAATTGTAACTGGTGTAGTGAAACAAACCAAAAAAATAAACAAGCCAAAATTAATGAAGAAGGCTCGAAAATACCATTGTACTTTTTTCTGAGTCAAATTTGCCCTGAAATTTCAATTTGAATTAATAACTTTATATTGATTAATATCAATAAATATTAACATTCTACTTTCATTATAAAAAGTTTCTAAAATTATTATGTATTAAAAATTGAATACAGATTTTATTAACAACATATAATAAATAAATATTAGAAACTTTAATTTTTAAACCGATATGTAATTTCAATAAGCAGAAATTCAGGCAGTTTCTGGCTTTTGAACATAAGGGGCTGTCCATAAATGATGTCCACACTGGAAGGGGGGTTATAACAAGTCAGAAAGGGGATCTGAACTTCAATAGACGTCCATTTTATTTCATTAAATTTTATACAGTTTATACATTTTACTAGTCATAAAGGGATAAAGGTTTTAAGGGGAATTGAGTTTTGTTGGATGTTCAAAGAGGAGAGGGTTGGTTTGTTTTATTAAGTTATGGCAACACAACATTTGGGCAATCTGCCTAGGGGGAATGCCTTCCAGGAGGTCTTTTTAAGGGTAACTGGCCCCTATTCAGGCATTACAGATGTGGAGAAAACCTGGAAAACTCCACATGGCCAGCCCACGCAAACCCATGATTGAACTGCCAGTGTTCAGGGAACAGAACTGCTTGACCACTGGTGGGTCTCTGAAGAAGGAAGAGCGACTCAGAAGAGGACTTATGGAAACTCGGAAGACTGGGACAATAGGTATGGACAACACTTAATGCAGGGGTGGCCAACAGTTTTTGCCCCTGGGCCGAATTGGAAAGAAAACTTTTTTCACGGACTGAAGCACAGGCTGCCCTAGGAAGACTTTGAGGTGGTGCAAGATCTCATTGTGGTATCACCCCATAGAGACTAAATTGTACATAAAGATCACAGATACGTTTTCCACATTATCATGCATTATCAACATTCTATGCTGTGCTGAAGACATTTCTAATGGAATGTTAACTCTAATTGCACAGTTACTTGTTGATCTTTTTTTTTAGCCGTCAGAATTTTACGTCGAGATATTCGGACTTAAGTAGCTAATAGAAGAGATTGAAAGATTAATCACGGGCAACATAAATTCATTAGACGGGCCATATGTTGGCCATGCCTGACCTAATGTGTTCCTGAAATTGTGTACAAAAGTTAAATGTCTGAAAGTTAAACAATAGAATTAAAATTCAGTTATAAAACATAAGACTAGTAAAACCTCGTGTCTTTTTCTTCCAATATCCATATTAAATCAGAGGCCAAGATTTTAAAAAAAAAAAACAGCTATTTTATTTTCTCTGCCACACTGTGGGAAACATATGCTACCTTATAACAAGGACAACTCAACCCCCTCCAAGTTCCTGGGCAATGCTGAACATCTTTGCTTATAACTGAATATTTTTATTTTTATTTAATAATTTAATAAGTATTTTTTGTGCTCAAAATCAGTGTTTTTTCTTTCATTATAATTAAAAATTTACATACTGAAATTAATTTTAAAAAACTATCTGTAAAAGAAATGAAGACAGAAAGAAATGACAAGATACTATAATAATTGTTCAAATTCCATGTACTATATTTCTTTTAAAGATATATTTATATAAGATAGAAATATATTTGTATAAAGATAGAAATAATTTAGAGATTATATCAGACATAAAAGAAAAAACATCCAGTGAGTAATTTGTATTAAAAAAATAGAACAGAACCAGTCGGAAAGCATTCAAATGAAACCATTGTCTATACTGAAAAAATTTTGAAATCTTTATATTTTTAAATAAAATATATTAAATTTTTTTGAATATAAAGAAAAATAATGTAAATGTACAAAGAAAATTCTTGAAATTCATATTAAAATTGTAAATAAAATGGAAGATGTAATAACCTATTATTTAATTAAAAAACATTGAAACATTAGTTTTTCTTATAATAAACATTAAAAAATATGTAACAAAAATATTAGTTTCATACATTTAAATGAATTAAATATAATATAATATATATATAAAAACTATTACCATAAGATATCTTCTGGTGGAGGAGCTACTGTCACTTTCCAGTCATGAGGATTTAAAACACGACTTAAACTTGAAGATGGAGGATTAGTGTTACATTTGCAACGTTTTTGATGATCTTTATAAACACTATAAACATATCAGTTTACATTTTTCAAACAGCAAAATTAATTTAAGCAAATAAATTTAATAATTAATAAACTAATTTAATGATGTTATTATTTATTAATAAAAAATAATAATGTATAATTTATATATAATAATCTACTAACAGTTCTGCCATTGTTTCATTTTGAAAAGTCACAAAAGCTATTCCTAATGGTCTTAAAAGTGAAAAAGACTTCTCTTTTTCAACAGCAGAAGTCAGTGTATGTTCTTCTCTCATATAAAAGTCTAAACCATCAACCTAAATTAAGGAATTTTTGGATTAGAAATAATATTTATAAATTTCAATAAGTTCATCAAATATGGTTTATATTTGTTTGATATTTAAATAAAATCTAATTTGATTGTATAATTCTAATGACACTCATAAATTTCAAATACTTTCATTCACAAGTGTTTTTAATAATAAATTTTTTATGTAATCTTTAGATTTTAATATTTAATTAAAATAAATTTGTTAATTTAAATTTAATTAATTAATTAGTAATAAAATTTTCAAGTTATACATTTTAAAATTGTTTTTAGTTTTTCTTATTAGTAATTTATTGTATATAATTTTATAAGTACAATCTTTATTTCTACTTTAACATATTATTTTATGTAGTGAAACTATCATATTTTGTATTGCCCTGAAATGTGATACTTCTGACTGCTGGTAAAATCCATTAGAACTTTAAATGTTACTGTATTCTAATTTTAATAATTTATGAGCAATAAACTATGTATTACAAGCACTTCTGTTTTATTAAAACAGTTTTAGTTAAAAAGATAACACTCTTTCTCTAACAGTAAGTTTATTCACAATACTTTTAAAAAATTTGCTATTATTAAATATTTTAAATTCTTCATTAACCGATAATAAATTCTTAAAACTTTATATTTATATAAAAAATTATTAACGTATAATTTTGTTTTAATTCTATACTATTAGTAAACATAGATAACATTACTTCTTTGCAACAGAGTCCACAGAAACATATTCTACCACATTTATATGGTCTTATTTTAGGTCTGGCACCTGTTTCATTTAGCTCTTTTTCACACCAAATTCTTGCTTGGGTAGCTATCTCTCTAAAAAAATATTAATATTAAACATTTAATAAAATTTTCATTCTATATCATATCTATTTCAACAAACACTGATAATTTAAATTTTTTTTTACATTCTTCTTAAAAATAAAATAAATGTTGTTACTTTTGTTATCTTTAAAGGAATTCATATTCATAAAAAAATCATTTTTATCTAAGATTTTCAAAGCTGATAAAGATCACATTATATCAGAAAACACTAATTATGAACAGATATATTTTGAAGATCTTACAAAGGATCTATATGAGGATAAGTATATTATTAAAAATTGGATTATGAATAATATTCCAGAATTTAGAATTTAAATACACAGTCATATTTCAATATCATAATGTTATGAATTTCTCTTTCCAATAAATTTTTCTGTGAAATGTTGAAAACATGTCTCTCTTTTACATTAAAAAAAAAAAAAAAAGGCATTTTAATTTAAGTCAAATTATAATTTCTAGTTTGATAAATGTTTTTAATACATTACAAACTTGAAAATCAGTTACGCATTTAATACAGCTTGATTTCTACTATTTTACTATTTTTAAAAAATTTTGAAATAAAAAGTAAAAAACAATAAAATATAAGTGATTATTCTATAACATATTTTAGTAAACCAAATTTATTATTTCATTTAATTTTAATTTGTTTTGTATTACAATATCATCTTTTTTATAATACTTAATTTGTGAACATTAAACAGAAGCAAAGAAGAAAGAAAGAGTAAATTAATTTTCAATTTAGGTTAATTTAATGTAACTAATTTACTAGAAATAAAGTTTAAAATCTGTTAAATATTTGTAACACATAAAATTTCTAAATTGTTTATCACTTATTTAAGTTATGAATTACAATAGAATTTAGTTACCTTCTTTTATCTAATTTATTCAAATGATTGATATCATATGCAAACTGAATGTCTTGCACAATACATTCTGGATAAGCCTCTCTAAAAACAAATATTGAAACATTTAAAGTTTAGATGAGTTTTATTTAGAATTTGATATATAATAAATTAAAATATCACAAGATTTTATTTAAAAAGTTTATTTATACCAATTTAAACAAATATAACTTATAAAAACAAACTGATCCAAGTTCTTTAATATGTTTCTAATAGTAACTGTAGTAATTTGATCAAATTTCATATTATATATTTTAAAACGTATTAGAAATTGAATATATAATATTAGCATTTCAATGTGACAACTTTAAAAAAATAAATCAAGCATTACATTAAAGCAAAATATTAATTTTATTTTAAAATTATAAAATTAATTATTAATCTATTGATATTTAATTATAATTTAATAAAATAATTAACATTTTAATATATAAGAATTGATTTTCAACTATAATTGAGAGGGTTGGGGCAAGATAATGCCAAGCCACATTTTTGATCAAATTGAACTAATTATGCCATATGTGTGTAAACACAGTACACTAGAATGCAGTTTCAAGAATTTCCTGAAAATGCCATTAGAGCTGAATTGCCCCAAACAATTTCTGAAGTTTCTGACAGCAAGATAATGCCAAGCATCAGTCATTAGAAACAGTACCAAGGCAAGCAGGCAGGCAGGCTATGAATTCAGTTGAATAATGAATTGGGTGATTCATTGGTCAACAAAAACATGGATTCTAATTATCAACTGCCAGGCACTGATGATCTAATTATCAACTGCCAGGCACAATTGTAATGTTTTCAAAAGAAATTTATGAATAAATGCTGAAAAAATAAATGCTAGCAAACTTCCAACATACAATTATTGTTATTCTTTAGGGTCAAGATAGTGCCAAGCCACAAAATACTGACACAGTGCTTCTGAAAAGTTTTCAATACAAAGTACATGCATCGTAATTCTTCATAAATAATGCAAATACCTCTTCAGGAAAGCTAAAACTATAATAAAGAAGTTTTGTTTGTAGAATTTCGCCGGATGATAATTTATTTTAATAACAAAAGACACAATCATTATTTTATGTAGTGAAACTATCATATTTTGTATTGCCCTGAAATGTGATACTTCTGACTGCTGGTAAAATCCATTAGAACTTTAAATGTTACTGTATTCTAATTTTAATAATTTATGAGCAATAAACTATGTATTACAAGCACTTCTGTTTTATTAAAACAGTTTTAGTTAAAAAGATAACACTCTTTCTCTAACAGTAAGTTTATTCACAATNGGCGAAATTCTACAAACAAAACTTTTTTAGAAGTAATTCATCACCAGAGGGATAAGGCCAAAATTTACATTTAACAGCGCATTTATCAAGTGAATATAAAGGTCTGAAATTACCTAACTGGAAAGGATGCAAGTTCAAGACATCTGTAAGGCTGCCAGTTCCAATTCTTTACTTTTAATGTTTTAATTGGATATTTTTGTGTGTTTTTTAAAAGAATGTTTTAGCCTGATGACCTAGTAGCCTACAAAGAAAGGTCGGGTTGTCGATGGTGTTCTGGAACATGTGATCAGAATAAATGGTGGTTTCAAAAAATAATTTTTGGACAGACTGTGTCTTTTGTGATTAAAATATAATAAAGAACTGCAAACATTCATTCGATTACCAAATGTGATTTGGCAATTTGATCAACCTTTCAAATTGTATTCTCTCAAAATAGTGGTAAGCATGGCACTATCTTGCCCTGGCCCCCTCAATTTATTCAGAAAGTAACTATTAAATAAAGGAAACCAAAATATTTATTTCTTTTGGAAGCATTTTGGATTATTTTAGACCATCATCAGTACTCCAAGTAGAAATTAGATAAAATTCACACAATAAAATATAAAATTATACAGTTGACATTTAGAATAATTTAAATTTTAAAATGCAATTGAAAAATAGACTATAAAATTAAACAACATAAATTTAGAATGATTCACATTTGAATTTTAGAATATATTAAAATTTACATATTTAGACTGTAAAAAATAGAACATACATAATATTGAAATAATATGTGATAAATCTACTGATTATTAATGTAGAGAAATTTTAAATTTAAATATAACCATGAAAGCTTCAAATATTAAATTGTTATATGATAAGTGTGAGATTAATCTTAATTACACTTGGTTAGTAATTTTGTACAATAAGTAGAAAAATTGTATTATCTAGTAAATACTATTTAAATATAATAGAAAATTTTACACAATTGTTATCATTTATCTAAAATATTAAGTCAAAATTTCAGACAAATCAATCAACTGTTTGAAAACTAATCATTTAATCAAATTCATATATAATCATATGTGAATTTGATCATATATTTATTCATATATAAAATTTTGTAAATTATAATAGAAGTTTTAATGGAGCAGAAAAAGGTTAAAGTACTTTCAAGTTCCATATATTTACCATCGAGACATGAGTAATTCTAAATGGAATATAACATTACGTAACTATAATCCATTTAGAATTCTTTGATTATTGATGATGAGTATATGATACTTGAAAATGCTGAAACCTCTCTCTGATATTTTCTGCTCCATTAAACACTTTTATTATAAATTTCAAAATGTTTGGAATATTAATCAAATTTTGCAACTTTTAAGTCAATTTGGTCCCATCTTTTTTTGTACTAAAAAAATTTCAACATACATAGACAATTTAATTATCAAAGTTTCAGTCTCTTAAGACTCACTTTAATCAATTCTTTTTATTTACTTAAATGAACATATATCTTCATTTAAGTTAGTAAATATACAATAAATACTGAAAACAAGCACATTTTAAAAGTATGTTTCCAGTTGTACATTTATGTAAACATTAATTCAATCTAGTTTTTGAATCAATTCAATATAATCTAAGATCTTTAATAAAATGTTTAAGCAACATGCAGAATACATTTTGACAAGAAAATAACTTACTGAAAATGTTGTATAAGATAATCTTTATAACAATAATCTCTAGGAATGCCATCTACCATCAATGTTCTTGTTACCTACAAAGTCATTTTAAAAAGTCACAATAAACATATTGATAATAAAACATTAAAAAGCCATTCAGTTACCAATCAACAAATTCCTTAATTTAAAATATTCTAATTGTTAAAAACATTTTTGTCATCATAATTATTTTAATTTTATATACTATTTAATATATTTCTTCATGTTAAATCTAATAATACTCACTAAGAAACATATAGTTTATTGGAAATAAGGGGAACTAATTATTATTAGCAAATTTTTAATTCAAACTTTAATTTTATTATGAACATATTTTAAATATTTAACTTTCCATCAAATGTTAGAAAACAATATTTAATATGATTCAAATGAAATAAATCTTATAAATCAAAGGATATTTTTGAGCTAGCTTTTTGAAAGTAATAAAAAAAAACCAATTCTATAATGACAAAAATTATTTTACTGAAATCTCAGTAAAAGTTATCTTTCATGGTTAAATAAAAGAACTGGATGTTTGCAGTTAAAAGATCTCACTTTTACAATTCTTCTTATGTTGTCATTAGTAGTATAATAACAGTATTAAATGTAACCAATTTTAAAACTGTTTTTGACTACTGACATTTTATAGTTGCATGATTCCATTTCTCACAATACAATATTTGTTTATTTCAAACAAAACAAATCAAAAAATCAGAATATCCAGCAATAACAATTAATTTAATAACTAAATTAACTTTTTCAACCATCTTAATTAGTCATCATCAGGTTTTAAATACATTCGACAGGAGTATATAAATTAGAACATAAAATTTTCTTCACATCTTCAAAAACTAAAAGTTTATAAAGCAACTAGAATAGCAATAGTCATCAATTACAAAAACACAGAAACATCTTGGAGGTCATTTTTTGAGATACACTAATGAATGGAACACCTTCACTAACTTTATGTAGACATGTTTTATTTGTTTTGATACTTATATGTCCCCCATGATAAACATGGCTGCAACCAATGGAAGAATTTTTTAAAAGAAAGAACATTATACAGTAGACCCCCCTGTAATTACGATCCCTATAATTACGATTCCTATAAAACTGCAAAAAAATTGCGACGGTATCTGTAAAAAAGGTAAAAAACTCCTATAATTACGTAAAACATCATTGGGCAGCCGAACTACTTTCCCGCCGTCCGTAGCACCATGCTACGGACATTTAGGCGGCTAAATTGAGTTTAGTTTCGTCTCTACATATAATTATATATAAATTATATATAATTAGGTACTGTACATATAATTATATATAAATTAGGCACTGTATATATAATTATATATTAACTTATTGTAACTTTGTTATAATTAAATATATAAAGTAATTTGGACTAAATATGGTTAAATTGCCATCTTGTATTAAATTTAATAATTAGAATTACATTAATTAATTTGGAATATTTTGGAAAAAAGTGTGATCTGCAGGAGGACTCAAACCTGCAATTTCTACTTATTATGCAGATGGCATTAATTGCTTACATTTAGTCCAAATTATACAATATCTGTATATTTAATTAGATTATAGCTGTTAGAAATCTGGCTTTATTATTTAATTATTAACATATAATTTGGACTTGTTTTTTTATCATCATTGTCATCATCATCATCATCAATTCCTGCTTATATCCAGAGGGTGTACAGGTCAACATGGTGAAAAACTTTTATACTACCATCCACTACTTTTTTCCAAATTCTCATATCAACAGACAATTTTTTAGCCTAGAATGAAATTAAATTCCTTTCCTCTAAAGTCNAAAAATAATATACGTATTTTGGAAATGTTGAGTCGGATTAGTCTAGAATCGATTAATTTTATGGAAGAAAACCTTTCAATCAACCATAGTCCGTAAACTTCACACGTGTCGGGCTGTGATTGGAAGGACTCGTAAGAAATCGGATTCCTAAAGAATGGAACGTATCTATGATCTTATAGGGGGGTAGACTGTATGTTCTATGCAACTTTGCAATTCTAGCAATTTTGCACTTACTTCCAAAAAATAAGAAGTAATCAAATATTAGATTATATGTTCTAATTTACATTCTTATGTCAAATGTATTTAAAACCTGATGATAACCAATTAAAACATTGAAAATGTTAGTTTATTTATTAAATTAATTTTTTGCTGCTGGATATTCCACTTTTTGCATCCTGTTTTTTCGTATATTAATTTATTTCTTCTGTTTATTTGGTAATTTTAGAAATCTTTATGTACATACATGTTTAGCTTTTTGCAAATACTTTTATGAAATACAAATATAATATAATACTTATATGAAATATTAAATATTCATATTAACAATAATAAACAATTATACCGACTAAAAACATAAAGTGCAAAAACATTATATATATTCTTAGTAGTATAGTGGTAAAGGTTGAACTTTCCTTACACATTGCCATGAATAAAAAATAAAATAATAAAATGCATATGATGACTACAAAAGCTTAAATGGCATGATTATTTTAATGTAAACATGAGTGAAACTACTGCAGTATTAAACATTCTGGATTGTAAAACCTGGTTCTTACTACAATGGTATACACATCAGAAAAGGGATTGTGTTTACAAGTCAAGTCAAGCTCAACTTTGTAAACACAATCACAATAGTTTGCTTAATTTAAGGATATATTTTCAAGTATATAAATTACTGTATTTGTAATAGTTTTTAAATAAAATAGGATTATCTAAATTGTTCCATTATTGATAATTTAATATTTCAATTTATTTTAAAAACTGATAAAGAGGAAATAAAAAACTACTAATTGTTAACTATTTTTATTCTTTCTTACATTACAATTTATAAATCAAAAATTATGTTCTTATAATTATTTCCAAAGTAAAATATTAATATTTTATATAAATTTTTTAAATGAATAACATTTTAAAACATAAAATTGATTCTTATAATTAACTATTGTAAAATAGTTAATTATAAGAAAATTATTAGCATACATCTGTGATATTAACTAATTATAAAAATATATTTTTTTTTACATTTGTTCTTAAAATATATTTATTATATTATTAAAATTTTCATATTCTCACCAAATTTGTTTCTTCAAACTTTAATGTAAGAGAAAAATGTCGGAGAAAGGATATAACCAATGGTAAAAACAGAAAGGATAACAGAACATGGATCCATAACAAAGACGACCTAAACATATAAAATCAATTAATAAAATGATTCCACTTAAAAATTCTGTATATTATTTAAAATATCTATAAATAAATCAAACTATTTTGAAATATTATCTAATTATAATTGAAATTATAATCATTTCAAAAACACAATTGTTACTAATATTATAAAATTAAATTGCTTTTGATACTTTTATTAGGCTGCAATTTGTAAAATTGTAGACCTATAAATTTCACTGTTGTCTGTCCATCTGTTTTTCCTTAATCTTGAGAACAGAGTTAGACAGACAAAATCCAAGACCAGATATGGAAACCTTAGAAGCAGGAGGCCCTGATTAACTACTTATGAACTTCCAATGCAAACCAGAAGTCATATTATTTCAATTCAAAACTTTTCCCCTGAAAGCAGTTAATAGATGACTGGCATGTCTCTATTGTTAAAGGAAAAGTATAATATACAAGGGCAAGCAACTACTAATTTGAGGATGGAGAGCATATATTTTAAATTAGATTGATTAAAAATTGCAGCCCACATAGTGTCGTTTTATTTGAATCAACACTAAAACAAGCACCGAAAAACTGATATACAGTAATTCTGGTAAATACTTTTTTTTATTACTAAATCTATATATAAAATTAATAATAAAATAGATTTGGCTTTCGGCTAAATAAAGCTATCTATAGTCTATATAAATTATTCTTGTGTGTTTGAAAATACAATTTTCAAACCTTTGTGTGTGTGCGTGTGTGTGTTCAACTACTTCATTTCTCAATCTACTCGGCTGTAAAGAAAATACAATTGCATATTATTATGTTTCTGCATTTGAATACAAGTCTTTATGAAATTATTTTCGTGAAAAATAATTTGTCGGTCGAACGAACCCGAAATTAATTAATCAAAATTACGTTAATGAAAACAACAAAAATAATGGAGGAAAATAACTTTTATAAAAATAAAAAATAAATTTAAAGGAAAAAAAACNTGTTATTATTATTATTATTATTATTAGTCTGTATACTTTAGTTTAATTTAAATTCTAGAATTTTCCTTCTTTCCGATTTCTTTGTTCCTTTGTCTCGGACTTCCGAGAACTTGCCTCACCCCTAACCCATCAGGGGGTAGTGTTAGAACAATAGACGGCAACAAGGCTGGAGGGGAAAAGGAGAGATTCCAGAATTATTCTTGGGCCGGACTCCGAGAGAGAAGGACGAGCGGCAGCAGACTCCGAAACGGAAAGTCAGGAAGCACTGCAGAGGAGGCCATAAGAAGCGGGTCGGCAGAAGAATCTGATTGATGATTATAGAAAAAGAAACCCCAAAACAGACCCGAATTGTTCTAACAGGAGAACAGCTGCAGAAAGAAGCCAAGATGAGGAACGGTGGAGAACCAACAGAAAAATTGGGTACCCTCTGTCCTTTAGTTCTTCTTACTTCTCCTTCTACCTTTCTTATCTTTTAGTTTAAGTTAGTTTAAGTTTACATGCGCAAATAGATTTGTCAGGAGGTAGTTATCGAAAAAGTAACTACCTATCTATTGTTATACCTGTTCACTCAGAATTTGGAAACATTTGTAGGTAAACTGCGGAAATCCGAACCTTTTCTGTATATATATATTTTTCAATGTCAGCGCGAAATTAAACTCGTTTAATTGGTAAAAACGTGTATGTGTTTTCCTGTCCACGCTGTACATTTCACAGAATAACTTTTATCAAGTGACATCACAAGACATATATACAGTATAACATTTTATATATATAGTATAAATACTGTAGAGCATCAATTATCCGACCCCTGATCAACCATCATATCGGTTAAGTGACCACGTTCTAGTCGGCAAATTCAAATGTCTGCTAGTGATGTGGCGCTACAATATTTGGCTATGTCTTGGCTACTTTAATATTATTTTTGTTAAATTTTGCATGTTTTAGCTGGCAACACTGTCTCGACCATGAAAGGGAGGCCAGTATTTAAATGAAGCTTAATTTTCTAATTTTTAATGATACAATAGTGATGATTATTATTTTAAAAAAATTAATTTTGTTAGGCTTAACATCGACACAAATTCAACGTGAAATAGGTTAATGGCGATATACTAATATACTAATTACATGGGATATACTAATATACTATGCTAATAATGTATTTTTTCATACTTTTCGGTTATCCGACCAACCCCAGTCCCCAACTGAGTCGGATAATCGATGCTCTACTGTATATGTCTTTGTAATGTTCAGATTATATATACAGTGAAACCTCAATCTATTATTTTTGGTAAACTTGGGAAAAAAACAACTAATACAAGAAAATGATGTCACAATCTTCATTTTAAGTACAAGGGCATTTTTTTTAAGCTCCGATAGTCCATAAAACAAAGACAAGTGTAAATAACAAAATGAATTTATTACCAAAAGTTAGGTACAAACATGGTTACTTTTCGACATAATCACCATGAATATTGAGGAATTTGTCATATCTGTGGGCAAGCTTTTCCATCCCCTTGTCATAGAATGTTGTTGCCAGTGAACTGAGATTGTCTTAACAACGTTGTTTTGAAGATTGTCATTAGTCTCAAACCTCTGCCCTGCTAGCCATGTTTTCAGTTCAGGAAAGAGGTGGAAATCTTTACACATTAAAAAGTTTCAAGCTGAGTGGAAGTCTTCACCACCTTTAAACACCCAGCATATAGCCCTGATTTAGCACTGAGCAACTTCCAGTTTTCTCCAGTCCCAAATAAGGACCCATATACAGTATATATATATTGTCTGACAAAGGTAGGCAGCTCCAAGATTTTATTTTATTTTTAAATTGGTTACTCATTTTTATCTTAGAGAACGTTTTTACAGATAAATGAAAAAAATTAAAGTTAAAATAAAAATATTTGTTATTAACTGAAAATTTGTTCTAGTGGATGGTGATTGTTCGATGGAGTACCAAGATACCACTGTGTTTGGTTAACATGATTTTGATATACATGGTAGCATCAAGAAATTTATTAATTGCATTAATCAAGGAATATCAAAGGAATATACCCATAGTAGGTAACCTGTATACTGCAGAAACCTTCTACTACGGAAGAGTCGTTCTGTCCCTTGGGGTTCCATTATAGACAGATTTGACTGTATTTACTTTAGTTGATATCGCAACTAAAGGAAATATTCTAATCTTGCTTTCTTTATATATTGCTTCCATATATATATATATGGGTCCTTATTTGAGACTGGAGAAAACAACAAATAGATGTGGGAAAACAACTGATATAGAAACAATAATAGATTGAGGTTTCACTGTATATACATATATAAAACATTTTGCAAAGAAATTAATCTTTATTGTTTTTATAATACTTCAATATTAAACTAATACTTAAAATAAAGGTAACTTACTCAGGATTTAAATTTGTAAGGGTTGTGTGGCTATAAGTTGTAGAATTTCCTTCTGAAATGTTTTAAAGCAATTTCAGAAGTTACATTTAAAACAAAAATTTTAATTATAAATAAAATTTGTGTTNGTTTGGCTAAATCTGTCACTCCTTCATTCAGTAATTGTTCAAAGTATTTGCTCCAATCCTTTAGAATATCTTTATCTTCTGTTATAATTTTACCTTTATACCTTTATCATTCTTTATTCCTCTAGCTACAGTTTTCCCATTGGTTCACAGATTCTTTACTAAATGCCAGAACATTTTGTCCCCCCTCTTTATACATGCTTTCTATTTGTTCCAAAATTTTCTCAGCATCTTTGTTTAGCCTTCTTTACAGGTTTAGATGTCTTACATTTAGCTTTATAATTTAATAGGATGCTTGTGGTCTTATTTGCCAGATATCTTTTATAAGACACCTTCTTCTTTTGTACTGCTTATCTAACCTCTTTCGTTCACCATGGAGTTCTAACCTCAAATGTATTTCTTTAATTGATATTTTCACTAATAAATCATTTTTATTAATATTCCTAAATCTTAAAATTTTTAATTATATTGAAATTAAAAAATATTTAAAATTTATGAAAACATAAATTACTAAATTTGGACTACAGATAGGCAATTAATTCACCATCTTATACTAAATTTAATAATTAGAATTACATTAATTAATTTGGAATATTTTGGAAAAAAGTGTGATCTGCAGGAGGACTCAAACCTGCAATTTCTACTTATTATGCAGATGGCATTAATTGCTTACATTTAGTCCAAATTATACAATATCTGTATATTTAATTAGATTATAGCTGTTAGAAATCTGGCTTTATTATTTAATTATTAACATATAATTTGGACTTGTTTTTTTATCATCATTGTCATCATCATCATCATCAATTCCTGCTTATATCCAGAGGGTGTACAGGTCAACATGGTGAAAAACTTTTATACTACCATCCACTACTTTTTTCCAAATTCTCATATCAACAGACAATTTTTTAGCCTAGAATGAAATTAAATTCCTTTCCTCTAAAGTCTGCTTAACGCTACCTCGTATCAATCTATCTTCATCTACATCATCCCTTTGGTTTTTTCTCTTTATTTTAGCTTTGAAAACCTGTTTGGCCAGTTGGTCTTCTCCCATTCTTTCCAAATGGTCAAACCACCTCAGATTAGCTGAGCTTACTCTTGACTGAATATTTGTTAAGGTTTTTTTTCTCGTGTCTTCATTTTTAATATGATTTTGCCACTGTATCCATCTATTAACACCACTAATTTTTCTAAAAATTCTCATTTCTGCTGCTTCTAATTTTTGGTCAATTCTCTTATTTCTCACCAAACTCTCAGAATCATATGTCAATATAAGTTTAAAAACTGTGTTGTACACAGCTAGTTTTGTCTTGTGACTTATTTCTTTCTTGTTCCAGATATATTTGCTCAATTGGCTCCCTGCCTGACCTGCTTTGCTTAATCTATTACTGATTTCCAAATCTAACTTTCCATCTTTGTTAAAGATTGTTTCCAAGTATGAGAACTTATTGATATGTTCTAAGCATTTGTTACAAAGTTTAATTGTTAAAGTCTCTTTCTCTATACTAATAGCCATAACCTTTGTTTTCTCATAACAGACTGACATACTGAAATTCCAACTTTCCTCTAAATTATTTAAAGATTATTGGAGGGCCTCGGGTTTATTGCTTAGTAGGACAATGTCATCCGCATAGATTAAAAAACCAATTTTTATATTTTCCAAACTGAAGTTTGTCAACAGTTTTGATTCTTTTATTAAATTATCCATGAAAATTATGAATAATAAAGGAAACAATGTACTGTACATCCTTGCTCACCCTTAGTTTTACTTGGAACCAGTCACCTATTTGTCCTTCTATCCTTATAGCTGATTTGCAGTTTCTATACAAGCTTTGGATTCCCAAGT